GTTTGGGCTTAATGGTAATTAAAGCTTGAGGGATATAAAGTGAAAGAAGAGACTCTCACTATTTATTCCTTGATAAAATAGTTGTCTACTAAGAAAAATGTATGAGCAATCTCAGAAGTCTGTTATCACTAGCAAGATTTACTCATCTGAACGGCACGCTCGATCATTAAAAATTACCAACAACAAACTAATGAGCCAATTGAAAATGAAAGCAGTAATAAAAATGGGATCGGAGCCAAAGCTGAATAAGCCCAAAGGTTTGAGTGATAGGATATACAAACTTCTCACAGTTTCACAAGTCTGACCTGAATTTCTCCTCGCACCAGTTTTAGCCAGCTGCTGTTAACCCTACAGTGCTGTGTTAACCAGTGCAGTTACTCACAGTCCTATGAGTGCCTCCCAAGGCCTCACATGAAACACACATGGAGAAAACCCTTACTGTGCACTGCTCTGCCTCTGATGGCTCTCCCCAGACACAGGATCCCAAGAGTACTGATTCAGCCCATAAATGCCCCAGCAGAGGGAAACTTCCTGAGAGCCTGAACTTTCCATTGTCCAGCTCTATTTATAGAAGTTGCTAAATAGGTGAAAACCAGACCTTTGATCACACCAGGCTAAGAGCAGAAATACCCAGCAGAGGCAACAGAAATCAACGCACTGATTTCAGTCGAATTTACAAAGCTTGAGCAAAACAGTAATTTCAGCTTTAAGTATTTCCTTACTGAAATGTTAACAGCTGCCTCGTAAGACACGTCAGAACCTGGACACAGCAGTGTTTGTGGAAGCTGAAAGAATGCTTCTCCATTTTGGTTCTTGAAATTAAAAAACAAACAAAAAAATTATCCAACCAAAAGCAGCTTAAGGTCTCAACATTCTTGTGTTACAAGCTCATGTTATCATAAAATCCAAAGCCAAGTTTTCTGGTTGCACATCTGAGGCTATTTTTCTTACAGTCATGTAACTAGTGAAAACCAGACTAGCAGAATTCCCTACAACCTAATCATCTGCTGATAATACACTTCCAAACCTTAGAAATTATTGTGAATTTTCATCTTATCTCACATTACTACCTGTAAGTCTTTTTGTTAGCAAAAAGTCTACCTCTGTAGAGGGAGTTAGGAGCAGAGCTCATCTTTGATTCATTCCCACTGCATGCTCAGTGCAGCAGATCACAGTTTCTCTTAGTTTGCTACTCTGAAGTCACTGAAATATAAACCTTACTGGAACATGCAGTTTACTCTTAGATCACCTCTGCTACAATTTGATTTTAATTGAGCTTGATTTCTTCTTAGATCACCTGTGGTCAACTAGTATATTGCAATATACTAATACATACTGGAATAAAATAGCAGGGGAAAAACCAAACACATCAACGTGCTACGTTTTTGGGTTCTTTGTAACGCAGAGGAGATGTGTAGAGTGCACTTACAAAAGGAACAGGTTTGTTTTTTCAATTGAGCACACTAAATAAAATCAACTGTGATTTATTTTCCATTTACGATGATACCTTTAGCTCTACTTCACTGTTTACACTACAGAAGTTCATTTATCACACATGCTTTGCTATTCTTAGTTGAGTCACAAAATCATAAACAGTTTCTGTGAATGCCCAGCTTTCAGTAGAATTGGCTCCTTCCCATACAAAACCAAAAGAAATAGAATATGATAAAGTAAGTTCAATTTGTTATTTTCCAAACTAGAAGCATGATTTTAGGGATGATTTCAAAAGCTACCAGAACACAATTTGTGTTTTTATTAATCTGTATTGTAAGTATTGCTTGTCTTCTACTCTCAGTTATACTGACATGCTTTCAGAGCACCTTCTGTGCCTGCTTTGTCACACTGAAATACGCAGTGCTTCAATGTGAAGCTTCTCATTTTTAGGTAAGTTAATGAAAGATAATCCTAAATCAAACATTACCATTTCCTTTTTAATATAAGATAGAAAGTCCATATGTCCTAATTCATCTAACAGAAAGCATCCCAAAACATTAAAGTCTTTGGGAACTTCTGTGTGTCTTTTAGGCAAATTTAATTTAAGATAAATGTTCTTGAGAAAAATAACAGTTAATATGGAATAGCTGGAACCCAGTCCTGTTAAAAAGCTAGAAGAAGTGTTTACAGGGGCAAAATTCACAGCTGGTCCTTACAAACTGTATACATATGTAAGCAGTGGGTGGGAGTGGGAGGGAGAATAGCAAGGCCCTACCTAATTATAGGTGCCAGTCTCATGATACAGAGCTGCCATATGTTAAAGGTGAATGTAGTGGGAGGGTGGAAGAGATTAACTTTGATGGGTTTTCTGAGGAAAAAAAAGAGTGTCCTAGCTATACTGTAAGTAGAATAGCATAGTTCAGTTGGAAGGGACCTTCAAAGATCATCAGGTGCACATTGGAACAGCATGCTTGCATAGGTGGTGGAAACTTCCTCACTGGAAATATCCAGGCCTTGGTTTGACTGGACTCTCATTTACTTTTCAACAGAAGGTTTGATGACTTGACCTCCAGAGATTCCTTCTGATCTAGACTTAGGATTTTCTTCTCTGATTTTGGAATTGCAGTGGACTGCTGAAAAACCCACTGGGCTACGTTCAGTTGTCACTTTAAGTTAATGAGGTCAAATCTCAGCTCTTCTGAAACAAATTCACCGATGTAAACAGGGATAGAAATACCAAGGGTAAAATAGTGAAGAAGCAGGCATGTATTTCTATCAGACATCATGTGAGGGGGCATGAATCTGGAGCTGCAAGTGAATCAATGATTGTATTGCTGGCAGGCAAAATAAAATAATGCTTGCACTATCCTTTAAAGTATATCAGATTACTTCAAAACATATCTGGGGCCAAATTCGACTTTTCAGCAGGAAGAGAGCAGAGCTACATTAGCAATGAAGCTGATCGCTGCCTTTTAGTCTATTGGCATAATTTTTGTCCTTTTGATAACTTACTTTATATTATATTGCAGAACACTGAAACTTGCTTTTTCTGCAATGTATACTGAAACATAACTCAGCGAGGCATACAGCGCTATCTGATACTGCATGGTAAATCTACATGCATGACCTTAGTGCCCAGCATAGAGGTGCGTGAGTTTATGACACACTAGCAGTCTTAAAGCTAATTTCCTCTCACTTGCCTCACTTGCACTTTGTGACTGATCCTTAGCAACTTGGTTGATTGATAGTAATTTACTGTGAAACTGAAATCGTTCCCTGAGTAAAAGAGGTGATTTCAGAAAGTTGTCTGCAGGTACATACGGGTGGACAAGACGACTCTTTCCACAGTAGATGGAGAGCAGTTTAGTGCCTTAGGAATAGAGCCATGTAAATGTTTTATTCATGCCATTTATTCACATAAGTGGGTTTTCACTTCAGTGTGTAACACAAGCCAGCTGGTTTGCTTCTTTTAAACTCTGATTTCTCATGCACTTCATATTGCTACACCCCCTTCTGAGATATTTATGGGAATTTCACAGCAAGCTGTCTCAAGCTTATGTGCTATTAAGATTCCATTCTGGGGTGTTTACCACATTAGATTTATAGCATATAGATTTATGGACTCAGCTAGTTGATGGCACAATAAAGCACAATGGAACTGAAGGCAACTGCTAAATAATTCTTACACCCCTCATGGCTTTGGATCTTCTAAACCTCAAAGAATAAAAGGATTAATATTCACAGCCAAAGAGAACAAGTTTACAGTACCAGGACAGTGAATTATCAACTATTCAGCTAAGTCCCATTTAAACAAATTAATTTAATTATCTGAATTGTCTAATTCAGATATGGATGAGCTGATAAAGATGGATCTCAAGCAAGTTCCTCCTAGAAAAGGATTTTTTCAATGATATTTTCAATATTAGATAGAATTTTATCTTGAAATTTCTTCAAGCTATGTTAGAAACAAGAGACTTGCAACCCTTGTTCCTTTCTCCAAAGAACTGTCTGAGATGAATACTGAAGAGGTATGAATTTTCAAGCCTATGAAGAGTCTGGCTTACACTCTGTACATACATTTGGCAACAAAGATATAAACAAAATTAGGAAATAGGTAAAAAAATACTAATTAATATCATATTTTACACTAGCATTCAGTTAATTCCATTCTAATGAAGTGAATTAAGACCTCTTAACAAAAGTGGTTGTTCCATTCAGAACATGACAGGTGATTTCATTCTCTTCTCTGCAGTTAAAACGGATAGATTTTCCTTGCCAGCCACAAAAAGGCTGGCATGGAGAGCTTCACAGGACAAGTTAAAGAAGGTAGCAATGATGGAAAACCCAGGGCTCCATCATTTGGAATGCTAGGAGCATGTTAAGAGGAGGAAAGAACATTTTTGATCCATTAATGGTCAAAGGCCAGATATACAAAAGTTCCTGAAAAACTTGTTCATGTGATCTGTTCAGTTCAGATCTGTAGTTTCAACAAGTGGGGGCAATGTGAAAAGCATGGGAAGCTTTCTGAAATTAACTTCTACCACCTGGACCAGATGATTCCGCTGTTGCTAATAAGCATCTTATTAATACAGCTGCAACAGTTCCACATCCAAGTGCAGATCCTAAGAGCTCTTGAGCAAACGCAGCTTTCTGCTGAGACACCCAAAAGCACTTGTATGAAAAACACTAGTAACAAAACCAGGAAAAAGTGTTAGATTTCTTTTATTCTGTTGCTAGTGTATTATTTGCATAATTCTCTCTTCAAGTTCAGTTCCCAGTTATGCTGGTATAAGCCTGTATTCCAAGTGCTTTACCCAGAACAGAACTGAGCATCCACCTTAAGCATCCGACTGTGCCATAACGTCTCCCTGTATCAACAGATGGAGACCAAGTGAACAGTGCTCTGCTTAATACTTGCTCTTGTATTTATTTGCATTGTTATGAAATTGGCTGCTGATTTATTTTCATTTCCTACATTATTTGCCTACAATTTTATTTTTTATAAATCCCATGTAGTAATGTATATCTGTCTGAAAATAAAAGCCACCCTTTGACTAGAGCTGGAATGCACTATTGTATATGGTGTGTTTGAAAACCCCTGCAAAAAAAACCAACAAATCATGTCTGCTTTAATACATGTAGCCTGAGGCACAATGGGATGAGTCAAGGACAAGAGAGCAACCCAAAAAAACCAAAAAAACCCAACTTCCTGCTTTTCTTCACTAGCTAATATATAACCTTCATTGTTATTTATGTGACTTTTGCAAGAGTTTGGGATAAAAGCAGTTGCATCTCAGTGCAAAGATTTGCTGCCTTTCATGTCTTTTAAGAGACTTCAGGGAAATCTTCCTGCAAAATAAGACCTAAACAGTATGTAAATTTCAGTAGCTGAAATAATTTGCTATAAAGTAAGCAGTCATTCATGATGTATATGGAATGGAGATAAATTATATTTTCTCAACAATTGTTTCTGTCTTTTAGAGGAATAGTAAAACTATTACATGAATTAGTTTTCACTATATTCTGGAAAAAAAACCAACAGTGCTTTACAGCAACAGAACAACTGATTCCCACAGAAGGGAACAGGAGATCACATTAAAAAAAAGTCATCAGTAGCTGCAGATAGCTCAGAGACAAGGCTGAATTCATTGCTAAAGCAGTTCTCCCCAAGATACCCATTCAGGACAGGAGGTGACCTGAAAAACGATGATCCTTCTAGTTACAATGTGCTATGAGTGCTGCAGAATCAGGAGAGCAGACAGAACTCCACCTTCCAGAACAACTGATACATTTGGTAGGACTGCTGGATTCTGGGGTCCTTAATGCCACAATGGGACTAAAATCCATGGATAAAACAAGACTGGTATCTTCTAAAAATCCAGCTCTCAGAATTCTTCCACTTCCCCCAGAATATAAGAATGTTTTCAAATGGATATATTTACTCTACAAATTTTAGGGAATTTTTTTTCTTCTTCTGTATATAATTAAATCTAGGTTTAAAAACGCAGTTAGATGGGATTTTATTTTACCTCCAACCCATTTCCTCTCAGAAATACTCACTTGATAAAGTATTTGATTCCATCTGCTGTATAAGCTTCTTCCCATCCATAAGGTAGACCTACAATGAAATAAAAAAAAAAAGATGTCTCAAAATTTAGGTGACACAAGGAACAAATGGTTTGGAAATGGCGTAAGTTCAAGGCATTTCATGAAAAGATTATAAACAAATTCTTACTCTTTTTGTCATAGATGATAATATAAGCAATGCAATTTAATAAATATTTGCTACACAAAGAAGCTATGAACCACTCAATGATTTTATTACTAGCATTTCTCTTCCAGAAGCTGACAGTCTGGTCAAATTGGAGTGCAGCAGTTCAGTCTTTTGAACTTTTCTTGCAATTCACACCCTTATAATGTCAGCAAAAAGAACCCTGTGGTTTACTGAGGTCTGTTTTAATTTGTTTTTATAGCTTTTCATTCAGATGGCCATATAAAGTGGGAGTATGGACAGAATCAGCTCCTCTACTGTCTGGTTTATCACCGTCTTCTGTGCTTATACATAATTATGTGGAAATTTAAACGAACTCCAAGACATTCAGAGTGTCAAAGAAAAATGTGAGCAGGCATGCATACATCTGTATGCTTGTCTATAGATACAGATCTTGAGAAAGGTTAACTTAATAAGTGCACTGCTTAATTTTGTGACTTAACCAAACATTTCTAGAAGCTAGAAGTATTTCATACTGCAAAATTTAGTGTAAATTAAGAAATATTTGTGAAAGGTTAACATTTTCATATGTAATATAAAACTGCTCCCTCTTTCCCTTTTGCAATTATCAGCCATGCTAATCTTCAAAATCCAGTCTAAGATTTTGTCGTTAGGTGAAAAGTATCCCTTGCATGAGAAAGATGAGCAATACTGTCAGTAGGGTACTACACTATGGCACCAAACATCCAGTTCTCATAGGGAGCTTATTTTTTAATTATTAGATGTTTAAAACCAACTACAGAGCTTGAAAAGTTCTGGAGAAAGAAGCATCAGTGTGCAAAAATGTTCCTGATGTATGCTTTTATGAGAAAGAAAATCCTAAAAATCCCTTCATTTTTTTTTGTAGACTAGAAATATATACATGCAATTAAAAGATGCATGAAAATTGTTCTGCAAGAGCTTTAGCTTGAAAGTCATCTGGAAATGTTACTGTCTTACAAGTTACACTATTTTTGTTCAAGTCACAGTCAATCTCCAAGACCAGCTCATTAGAACCATCTGTGAGCCTGCTTTAGATTTAAAACTCGTATTTGGAAAACATGCTGGCCTGCACACACCATATGATCTTCGAAATCTTCGTACCAAAGCATGCCCTAAGTGCACACATTTTCTGGGAGGGAAATTCTTTCTTAAAACACTGATTTTCTTTTCTCAAATTGTCACGTCTTTGTTTCTAGTGCGTTCCTCTTCAAAATCAGGAAAGGGATGGCTTCAGTTCTCAAAGAGAAACAAAGTTCATCACAGCTACGGAAGCACTGGCACAGACCAGCTAAGAGGTAATCACAGCTGTATGCAGACACCACGTGATGAATAATAAGCATGTCTACCAAAACTCAGAATTCAGATGGGTGACATGAGAACAAATGCTTGTGTGCATCACAGTTTTGTACAGCTTTGAAAAGGAAAGAGCACATCGATCACATCTTTCCTCTCACTTTTGCCCCATGTTTCCCACTTATCTCAAGTGTCTTCACATTTTCAATTTAGCATAAGCCTATGTAATTTGGTCTTCAGAACTTTCTACCTACTGCCTTTGAGAAGGAATAATCCACAGCCACTTCCCTTTAATACAAAGTAGTTGCTGTGTAACAGTTTTCAGGCTTTGATTCCTACAGATGAAAGTAGGAAAGGATGTTTTTAAGTTATAAATACACTAGACATCATCACTAATTCTTCCCTTCCTTCCCATAGATCATGGGAATTTTATTCAACTTGGATATTTTCTAATGATAAGAATGGGAATAGGATTCATCCTTCAATTGCTACCATCTTCCTTGGCCTTTCCTCATTCCTGCATAAAACACAAATCCAAAACAAGTGACAACACACTTGCTCTGTTAAGAATAAAACATCAGCATCTACTCTGTGCACACTCTGATCCCACATGTCACCTGTTTCATTCATCACTGATAATTACACTTTTTATGCTGGTAATTTGTCTAAAATTATTTCATTTTTTTTTCCTTCTAAATAAAGGCTGGCATGTAGGTAGCAATGATAACTGACGCTCTGTATTCTTTTCTCAACCATGAAAGACTGCTTTTCATAAATAGTGAATACATTTGTCAGCTGTAAATGAAACTCCAGAGATAACTCTACAGCTTTATTTGCCTTTCTGACTTAATATGCATTAGTTTGTATATCCTACTCAATCTCCATGTTCTTCAAAGCTCCACCTTCATATTTTTTAATGCCTTAGTTTTCCACATTTTTTTTCTTTCGCTGTTAGTCTTTGACCACTGTTCTCTTCATGCCTTTCTCTCACATTAGATTTATAGTTATTTCTCTACGCTCTTGGTATTTCCCATGGTAGCCAGGAGGCTCACATTCTTTGCCTTGTATTTCCCCAGACATCATCTTCACTTACTTCCAGCTCACTTTCTCCATGAATCATTCAAAAGTTGATCTACTTGCTAGTGCCATGTTTTTTTCACACCCTCTGGGGTCAGATTTGTTGTCTTTCCTAGGATTTGCTTTGGAAGACTGCGAAGCTCCCACCTGGGGTAAATGGGAGGTAAAGGAGCTCAAACAGGCAGAAACATAGTCTGGAAGACAGCATTTAGCCTATATAACCCATGGCAGTCTTAGGTTTCCTACATGTTTATCATTTCTTCTGTGAATTGCTACATTCTTTGATGAAACTTCATAAATAATATATCTTAGCTGTAGTTGTCAGCATGTATAATCTTTTAAAAGAGTCAGATTTGCAGTATTTAAAAATAATTTCCTTACAGCAGAAAATACAAGGCTTCTAGCTATTCAGATCTTTACAATTATTTGTCTTTTGCAAGGTAAGAAGGTAATAATACAAAAGTAATGATGTATGCAAAACAAAAGGAATACATCCAAAGCACCCTTTGCCCAAACAGAATAAAGAGTCTCCCTAGAGAGCATATTAACCAAAATATATTATAGCCTACCATTATTTGGTTCAGAATATACGCATCTAATTAGGCTTAATGCAAAGGAGAAGTATATAATTTTATGCAAAAAAGAAAAACAGCAAACTGCTTGCTGCTGTATGTGCCAGTACTGCTGCAGCTGCTACAGAGCAAGAAGACAGTATCCGTGGTGACTGCTTGCCTTCTGAGCTGCAAGATGCCTGCTGCAATAACCAACGTATAAAGTTCCCACTGCTTAAGGCAGAGAGGGAATGAAACCCTGGGGCTAACCAAATTTTTTTCCTGCTACTACATGAAGTGTGGATCTCAGTGATCTTGTTTACTTCTTTGGTTCAACAGGACAAAGAAAACGCATTGATACTTAACTGATTGCACTAAATAGAACAATAAACATAAGGCCAAATTATAAACTTGTACAGGGTGAAAGAAACGGAAGATTTTGCCCATGTACCCTCCCTCATGCCTCAGGATAGCTCTCCTGGAACAAAAGATGCATGCTATATCAAAGGTACATCATTAAACGAGCAAGGAGGAAAGCAGAGAATTTAGGGAGGAACCTCATTTTACTGGGCAGTTATCAAACCTGTAAGGAGTGCAGAAATGTTATTCCTGTTCTTCACTAAGTTAAGTACAATATCAGACAGGAAATATGGAGAACAGCAGATGAGACTAATAGTTGGAGAGACTACAGCACAAGCATTCAGTTGAATCTAAAGAGAATTATTTCCCTAATGAATAAATAGTGCAGTCCAAAATATTTTGGTTTTAATATTTTTTGATGACAAAATTACTTAAAGAAATAAAGAGATTCACAGACTGTAGTAAGAATGGATCAAAAATTTACTGTTCACTACTATTCAATTACCTCCTTGCAATTTATATTTAATATTACAATTCTCCAAAATGATGAAGTTTTTGAAGAAATAGTAATTATCTGTACATCTGTTAGAAAAGGTTTCCTAAAGGACACTATTAAACAGTTTTCTCAATCTTTGGATAAATTCTGATCTCTTTCCAACATCCAGCTATAGAGCAATATGCTCTTGTTCACACTCAAACCTTCCTCTAATGGCCTCAGTAGTCATGCAAAACTCATCAGTTAGGATCTCCAGTGCCTCTGGCTCTTCTCTTTGAGCTATCTAGGCCATGCAAAGGAGACTGAAAGCCGAAGATCCAACTTGCTGATCATCTGATGTCTGGTCTCAGGCTCCTGAGTGCTATTGGAATATGGGAATATCCCAGATAGACTGGAGACATCAATGATGCAGGACTGGCAGAGAAACTCCTGTGTGAGTTATGCTATTCGGCACAGCTAAGGCAAAAATTTGTGAAGGAATATTCATCCCTGTTTGTCAAGTGTGGTCAGCAGGGCTCAGGCATAAAATGGCTCTTTGTTTTTTGAGGCTGCCAATAATATACACTACATTTTAGTGCTTACTTGCAAGTTAATTATAAAAACAGTTAGAGGTCCAGGAAAACAGCTTCCAGAAGAGAGTTTGCACTTCTGGCATTTGTTTGTGTGACACTTTATTCTTTAGAGCATTTCAAGTGCTTTTCCCACAAACAAATGGACTCTATTTTATGAATAATACTCTAAGGGGACATTCAATTCTTGTCTTTCACATATCAAATTCAATTCTAAAGAAATTATTTTTTTCTTCTTTTGTTTGTGGTAATTTAATAGAACAAAGATGGAGTCAGTAGTTTTCAAGTGGAGACATCTGGGAAATACTGGCAATTGAAATTTATGCTAATTTAGAGTATGGTTGGCAGGGTGGCTTGTCTCAAGTCAGCAGTGTTCCTAGAAACCAAGCTTTAGGAAAAATACTGTTCTTATTTTGGTTACACAGAACGTGGTGAAAGATGACCTTGTGCCTTCCATTTCCTATTGATCATATGATACTGACCCATCTATGTCAGCAAACATATTCATCTCTTACAGAGACAAATGCACTGCACTGAGTGGTAATTAGGTACTAGGAGAGTTATAAAAAAGAAAAATCACATGGTGAAAGCTTAGAAACATCTTGTTTTTACTGGAACACTGGCTTATATGATCAACTTTAAGATCTTTCTGATAATTTTCAAATTATGAACTATTAAAAGTGTATTTCTTCTAATAATTGCCCTTGAAGAACTTGGTACAGTTACCAGAAACAGCATGGATACAATGGAAATGTTAAGATATGAACAATGATCAGTCAGATGGCTTATTTCTGGAAACAAGACTGAATAACCTCTGATCAGTACCTGGGGATCAGACATTACTGTAGGTGCACTTTTTTTCCTAGCTTAGGAATTAGGAAATCCAAATTTGAACAAATTCTTCCTAGAATGCACTCTTAAGTTCAAGTGAGAGCAATAGTCATCCAGGCACTGAGGTTACTAATAGGTGCCTTCAAGAATCACATTCCTGAAACATTATTAAAAAAAAAAGCTATCCCTTCAGAAGCTGAATGCTATTAAAACAAAAAATAAATGTTTTTCAACTAACTACTAATATTCTCTATTTAAATACAGTTTTACATTCTGTAGGATCCAATTATTAATGCTGTAATTAAAAAGAGAAGTGAGCAGTCTAGCTGAGGCCTGTTTTTATGCAGGAGGTTAGCAGTGTAATGAAAAATAAGCACACCGCACTTAATTAAGGCAATAGAATGCTTTCTTCTGCTTAGCTGATGGCAATCAGATGCATACAACAAAACACAATGATGCAGAAACAGCAGAAGTCACCATACTGTACAGTAACATCACTATAAAATATTCTGACTTCCTTTTTGAAGGAATGGAAAGACGACAGCAAATAACTGAGCCGTACTGAGTCTGACTGCTTAAGCAATGGATGCTGTTCTTCTAAGGTACGCTGTAGAAGAGCTTATTTTTGTGAGAACAAGCTTAGGTACATAAGCCATTATCAACTGACAGAAAACCACTGACCTTTGGATAAATCCTTTTAGCCCAGAGGGAACGCTGACGATCCAGCACGCCATTAGCTAGGCACTGGCCTGATCCTGTGCATCTGCACCAACTATTGGTAAGAAACTGAGAATGTCTCTTAAGCATGCAGAATGCCCAAGAGAGACTGCATTCCCTGCAATTCCAACATGAAAGGAATTTAAAATAATACTGATTATTTTTGTAATGAGAAACCTTCTAGAAAACATGCATTATTTAATAACTTACACTGAAAACCACAAGCTGTTTATTTCTTGTATTCACTATTAACACGACTGTCTATGATCAGTTAAGAGCACACAATTATTTTCACAACACACAATAGTTACTATACAATCAGAGAAATGGTCCATAGCTGGGGAAGAAATCTGCACCAAGGCCTTATATACATTATATTTTAATACTGGCTCCAAGTTCATTCCCAGGCTAAAAAAGCTAAATTCATAGAAGTAAAGTGTTCTCTTGAGTACATTCTTGTACTAAGCCAGCGCTGTCCTCTTCCAGCTAATTTCACTAATGTGGAATAATACATTCTGACTTCAAAAGCCAATCCTCTGCACACAAGGCATGCAGGACTAAGTGGGAACAGCCTGGAATACTTCAGTGCACAGACCTGCTCCAAATCATATTTTTTTCCACAGCCTCCCTTTCTCTTGCTCCCCTGGTTACTATTCCCTCTGTTCTGGAATTCATTTGTCCCCTCCTCTCCTCACTGGATCAAATCCTCTTGTCACCATCTATTGTGCCACCCACCCACTTCCATCACTGTCATCTCGCACCGCTCCCTGACGCATTTGTTAAATATAAGTTTAATTAGAAAGCGTTCATTGGTAGCAAATGAAAAAGCCTAAAATTAGAATTGGACAGAAGTTGTCTGAGATTTAAAAAGTAATACTATTACATGATATGCCTTTATTGCTAAGCAATATCTTACTTCTATGCACTGATGATGAAATTAAACCATGCAGGGGCTGGCACGTACCACCTACAAGCAGAGAGACACACAGCTACTTTGTGCTGAGCTCCACAGTAAGTATGGACCAAAGTAAGTAATAAATACTTTTTTGTTATGAAGCAAGAATTGTGAGAATACATTAAAACAACACCCTTTCAGCCTGTTACTAAAGCTACTGTAACTAGACCTGAGTAAAAGAAGGGTTTTATTTATAGACAGACGTGACTTCAGGATCAGTATATTATAACAATTAAGTCAAATGTTCCTAGAAACTAAGATAGATGCCTTTTTTTCCATAATAAATCTGAAGAAAAATAAATTCACTAATTCGCTGTATACCAAAATTAGCATATTTATTTTATCCTAATTGTGAAAGATTCCAACGTAATAATTGTACTAATCACTAGTAGGAGCCAAAATCACCACCCACAACTTCCTGTTCATGATATACATGCTTCATGGGATGAGATGACAGATTTAGTACGAGACTTATGTATATCTTGTACCTCATTTGGGTCTCCTTCATAAGCACCAAGCAATTATGTTTTGCTATTGCAAATTCTCAAAGTACACTTTTGAAATCTTCCTATTCCACTTTTGGCAATCAACTGCTTCTGTGCCTCTTTCCATTTCAATTTTCACATTTGTGCACCACATATACCATGTATGTCTAAGTAACTCTGCTAGCCCTCAGCTTCTCACTCCTACCTACTGAAAAGAAGTGAAAAAGATGTGCCAACTGAAGGAACTGACAGAGCAGCACATTGCCCCTCCTATACAAGATGAGCACTGATGGCTTCAGCATGCACCGACACTCCGAGCAAGGGGAAACCACAAGCATTAATCCACTCTCAGGGTGCTCCTAACTGTATAGCCACGGAAAATTAACTCAGCATTAACTGCACAAACAGCTTTGGTTGTGCTTCCTACTGTAATGGTTACCTAATGTTTTGGCACCTGAAATGATGAGATAGTTACTCCCTGACTGGTGTGCAGATACATGCACCCCAACAGACATCTGGGCACCCTCCTCTCCTGACAGCCAGCATCCTGGCCTGACCTGTGCTGGTGGGTCAAAAACAGCCCGGAGCTTGAGACACTATCTGGAATTGAGAACATATGGGTTCAATTCCTGTGTCTGACTTTCTCGAATGGGAGCAATTTGCATGCTACAAAATTGAGAAGTATTTCTGTTTTCTTCTCCCTCGTGTCAAGGACTTTGTACAGTAATTAATTGTTAATACACGTAAAAAAAATTCTAATCATTATGTCAACAGAAATGAAGACGAGGGAACTTCGGAAGTACCTACCATCCGGCACAGTTGTTGATTCTACAGAGTTTTGACTGTAGTTTCCATAGTTACTGAGAGCAAGTATGGGAAGAGGCACAAAGTCATTTAATTTTTTCATAGCTGGGTCACAGTATGAACTGAACACGTGCAAAGACTTTTAAAGATTCATTCCTTAATGAAGTCTTCTTATCAGAGATGCTGGAAATTTACTTAACAAGTCTGTCCTAATCTTGTTAGAGCATCTGCATTTTAAGGTATAATAATATCACTTACTTGTTTTTCATTATTAAAATGTTTTGATTAGAAAGTCAGTACAGACAGTGCCTATTCAAAAGCTGATTCATCTTTTCTCATTAAAGGTAAGTGAATGGAAAAGGAATAAATTGCTTTTCTAGCAGCAGCAACAGAATTTGAAAATCTAGGTCACATTAAAGAACTCTTAAATACAGGCTTTACACATTGAATTGTCTTTCTCATTGCTGTGAAACACTGGGAATAAAATACATGTTCAATCACCAGTAAATTAGCTAGCAATTTGTTCACGTACTTGCTTTAAAGTATCACTTCATGATACTTTAAATACTTTTTTTTAATGTGATCAGATGATAAAATTATTCTGTCCTTCTAAGCATCACCTTTTATGTAGCTTCTCTGCTTGTACATAACTTCAATTTGGAATGTTCTGATTCTTGGACATGAATTTAAACCTGTGGGTCTAATTTCTAGATCCTGTAGGAATATCAACAAGACAGACCAGTTAGGGGAAAGCGTTATTCCTCACTTGCAGCAAAATGTGCTTTTAATCCACGTCAGGAAAGTTCAGGTATAACTCACGATTTGAAAACCATCTGTGAATGGACATTTCTTTGAAATGGCATTAAAAAACAAGATTAGAATTTTGTAAGGTCTTGACTAACTGGATCAGTAGTTTGAAAAAAACCTGGGATGTAACTCAGTAAGGACGAAAAGCCAAGTACTGCCCTCGATACAAGAACACGGGTAGGTCTGGCTGGCCCTTGGTTCAGGGGAAGAGGCTGTGGAAGCCCAGGAAAGCACCAACTTCATGTAAGTCAGTAACATGAAACTAACCGGGAAGAGGAACACGTGTACCAGTCTAAGAGCTCGTATGCTATATCTTAAAGCAAAGAAACCGATTAGTCCATTTTATTTCCCATAGGAAGGTCTCAATTACATAGCATAATGCAATGTTGATGAACTGGAAAGAATCCAGAGAAACAAAAGAGTGATAAAACAGCCAGAAGACAAGCTTTGTGAGCAAAAAATGAGCAAACTGGTATTAGTGGCTTATTTTGGGAGCCAAAAATTCAATGGTGAAATGATATCTTCAAATATATTAAAAGGTACCACAAAGAGGAACATACTAGGATGTTTTCAGTAACCACTGGGATGAGGAAAAGCAGCAATGGACTTAAACCACAATGAGGAGGATTTAGGCCAAAGGAAAACCCTTCTAATGGCAAAGATAATTAAGCATGGGAATCGTTTAGAAAAGCCAAGAAGTAGAATATGTTTCACAAGCACCTGTCTGGATTCATGTAGGTGTAATTGCTGAAGGCAGGCAGGTGCTCTACCTAATTGCTGGAGATTCTTTCTAACCATATGTTTTCAGATTCATTAGTTCTATTCCAAGTACTGTCTGAGTGCTAGTTTTGGAAGCTTCTGTGTGATTTACATTACATATAGACATTTCTTCTGCTTCCCATTCACAAGGCATTTTTATACCTCATATTCACAGAAGTAATACACGTACATTACGTTATGTACCAAACAAGTCTTCACTTGTCTCCTTCCAAGTATTTACTGTAAAATCAAACCCATCCTGGCCAAAGAAACAGGCTTTATGGCTTTTTTTAGGTTGCAAGATAGCACCTCAACACACACCCTATCAATCACATTAAAACTGAACAGAAAACCCAAAGGTAAAACTAAGAGCTTTTGCTGTCTGCAAAACCATTAAACCCCAATGTGGCCTCACTAGGCTTATTTATTTATTTAACATTACAGACACTGCTTTTAAGTTCAGGTATTTACTTAATGAGCCTTGTTTTCTATCAAGAAGAGCAGGAAACCAGAATACCAGCGCTGCTAATTAACAAATGTAACATCTATACCTTTAAAGCACACAGCACAGATCTTAAGATTACTATTTTTGCTAGTCAAAAACAATGGGAGCCGTATAGATGCTTTAAGGACATATGTTGTATAATTTAATAGGTCTCCTCCATTTCTGATTTGAGTAACTCACTGAAATATTTATGGCCTTACCAGAACAGTGAATGTACAGTTATCTCTTCAGTTGTTATTATACTGCTCTTTCTCAAGCAGCTCTTTTTGTCAGGAAGAAAAGGTACATTCTGAGTTTATTAGCTGGAAGTATATTAAAGCTATGCTGTCCTCCTAATGCAGAAGTGTCCCTAGAAAGATACCTCACACGGAATTATTTTCGTGCTCTGACACTGAAAAAATAAAAACATAGGAGCATGAGCAAGTGCCAGCAATCTGAAAATATTCGTGGGGTCAATGGAAGGGAAGAATTTTGATATCTGGTCTCTGCGAATGCATCTTTAATACCACTATGCTAATTAATAAAAGTCAAGATAGCCACAGTGTGCCTGTCTTACACTTACATCTAGATTTCAATGCACATAAATCAGAAAGGCAGGGGGAAACATCCAGTGCTTACCTATTAACTTCTCCACAACTTTCCCAATCAGCTAAGCCAAATAGCTGTACAAAATCATACCACTGCCATGTCCTTAATTTTAAGAACAAAACTAATAAAGTATATGGCATTAATTTTATCATAATAAATATACCAAGGCTGTAATGTATAATTAAAAGGAATATGAATATTTAGCAGTATTAACTATTCTCAAATTAGCAACTGCTGTAGCTCTGCCACCAACTTATAACTGTGTCAAAGGAATGAGAAGGGACAACTAACAGCTTGCCAAACATGGAGCTATGTTGGCAACGTACCATAATGTAGTTTAAAAAGTAAACAGAAGAAACTGAGGGATTCCATATTTTAGCTGTTAATGCCTGAGATGTAAGACTTCATCTTGGTCCAGAAAGTAACAGCAACTTGATTACCAAGAGAACAAAATACACTTTTGAAATCTTCCTATTCCATATGGCTGCTGACCACCAGCTCTTCCCATTGCCTTCTTTTTACGTGCAATCAGCATACAAGGAAAATGAATGCAAACACTGGGCAACTGAACTTCTGCCTGTAGGACCTTCATAAGCAAATCCAAAATGCCTACTGTGGTAACTAGAAAGATCAACATCAATCAGGGCAACAGGATTTTTGGAAGATATGTTTTTGGAGATACTTTTAGTGAACTTCATAATGACTGCCAGATCCCAGGCAGGAAAAGAGATTAAAGGAAAATGATGTCAAGAAATAGTTCAAGATATGCTGCTTTAGTGCCTGTGATCAGAGAAGCAGGCTTCTGAGCACGTAACAGGTACTGATGGTTGGGATTATACCAACAAGGGCAAGACTGTATTTTTTAATAGAAAAGTCAGAGGCAGGGTGAGGAAATTAGCAGTCAGAATACTTGAATACTATGTTAGTCTGCTGAATGTTTCACGATGCTCACTGCCTGCTATTGTATGAAGAGATAAGTATTTTCCAGAGCTAATCAGATTTTTGCCATTCTCGTACCAAGTATATTTCTTTTTAAATTTTCTAATAGAAAAGAAGAAGTTGATTTCTCTTTTTTTTTTTAGCATGATCTTTACCATATGGCTACTAAGTGCAGCAGCAACTACTTTTAAATGTTACGGTTCCTTTGCTGAGGCATTATGATCCTTTGTAAGATGAAAGTAATTTTCTTTGTGTCTTAAGGAGATGGTATTACTCTGCAAAGCAGAAAGGCCTCCCAAGACTTACTGCCTAAAAATAGCTAACAGCCTTTCAGGAAGATGAAGAATGCATCTTTCAAGAGACGTGCTTGATTATTCTGTTTATTACTCTGATTGGCATCTCTGGATCTGGAGGATCCTGTAGTAGTAAGCACTTTAAAACAAAGGGGTTTGGTTTTGTTTGTTTTATACAGAATCCTGGCTTAAATCACCAAACTGACATCACATAGCTGTCATTCAACCTACCAAGCTGAAAACTGCTGTGCAGCACTGTTACAGACAAGGCAATGTGTACTTGGAGATTTTCAAGAATACAATGAACTTCTTTTAAACCTCTTCCCCCAGGCAAAATGTGATGCTATTGTGCAGAGGTCACCCTGTGTGGCTAGCTCATGCATATGCCATTTTGTCCTGGATGTCAAGGATGATTTTTAACAAGGAAATCAGTTTTCATTTAGGAACACTCTACACTTAGATGTGTTTCACATCTATTGTAAATAAAGTAAAAAAGTGTATAATGATGAATGTCCAGCAGTAGACTTTTATCCACTTAGCAGTCTCAGAACTCTTCACTCCAGTTCTGTAAGAACTCAATAACAAATTTTAATTTGGAGGCACTTGTCTGGATAAAAAGGAAATCTTCTAAGTAGTATTTACAGTCCTTTTTTCTTTAATGTACAATATTTATGAAATGCTACATACATGAGAGCCCTTTTTAGGGCAACACATCTGCAAGAAATCAGAAGATCACACAGAAAATGTGTTGTGAGAATCTGGCCTAGAAGGCTGCAGACAGAATGTCAGTAGACAGTTACTGTGCTGTAACTATTTGTCTTTTTTTTTTTCTTTTCTTTGAGAGAGGAAAGCTTTAAAGCTTTAATCTCATACACAAGCTCATCACATCCCAAGTCTATCTGTAATGCTCTCCAAATGAGAATGAACTCAGAAGGATGACGTTCAATCTTTAAATCCTTCTCTGCAGAGCTGTTTTTAACTTACAGGTTCATAGAAGGGATCCTTGCTGTGGCTCTGGAGCTTTCTGACGTGTCCTACCTGTTATGTTTGACAACCACATGGTAGAATTCAATTGCATTTAGGACTAAAAGTTTTCCTTGCATGATTTCCTGTGTAGTGTGATAGAAACAACCTAATGTGACAGAACACTTCCATAGTCACTTGTGGAAAACAAATTCCCCTCCCTCCTGACCACTGTTATTAACTTAAAAGCAAAGAGTATATGCAAAAGGCAAAGGAAAAAGAACCAATGTAAAAACTGGATCCGCTGCTACCAAACTGCCAGACCACCAAAACAACGTACATGCTAACAGAAATAATACAAGGAAACGCCCCGTGCATTTTCCTAGAAAAATATTTAAAAATTCCAAAAAACCCAGTGACTTCATTATCATTCACAGCACTGTTACAATGTCTTATTTACTTTTTTGTTCTTTGTTTATACTATTTATTTCTGAAGAAGTCACACTATTATCTGTTACATGACTCAGTGAATTAGTGAATACATCTAATTTACTTAAATAGGGTAATTACTACTACACCCAGCTGACAGTGGTAGCCTTTATGCAATGAACTGTCCTGTGATATCTGCTTAAAATTAAGGAGGAAATGCATGTATATTGTAAGAGCATTAAGAAGGAAGAACACTTGCAACTCCAGACATATAAAAGTTTTTCATCATTCTACTTTCTGTATCTTTCCAAATAAGTACTGATTGAATCTTAAGCAACCAGAATGAAGGCAGCTCTGTAGTCTCAGAATCAAATGAAAAAATAATACAGTGAATAAATTCTTCTGGGTGAGACAGACCACAAAAACGACAATGAGAGAACAATGCACTTGTAAGAGTTAATGTTATGGTAAAGGCTAGAGCTGGAAACACTGACAGGATAGGAGCAGCAGTCCCTTGCCTGCTTTTGTAGGTCTTCTGTCATTCTGAAAGACACTGCATTCTGGTAACCATACCCATACTGCACCCTGAGCACAATGGGAACAGAACCCATACTCAGGAGCCTTTTTCCACACTTGGGCAAAAAGAAACAAATAGACTGCTGAAACTGATTGTGCTCAATTACTGAGCAAGGTGCTAAAGCTCCAACATTTAATGAAAGAAATGAAGTATTTATGTGCATGTATACAAGTGTACACACACACACAGGCATGCACTCTTACTCACAGTTTACTTCCAGAATGGCACGGACAGACTTGGCAAGGTCTCTGGCTTCTGCTGCAAGAGCTGTGGTAACAGTTGGTCCAATCCTCCCCAGCCGGGCAAGAAGTGCTTTAGAAGACAATGGAGTCCTTCTGCCACTAAAAGAAGGGAAAAAAAAGCATTTATTTATTTGTAAGATGAGCAAAGGTTCCTTTCAATAAAGTAAAGCACGAGTGTCATTCTATGACAAAATCATTAGTATCATCAAGCATAAGTTTGTTTCAGAATTAGTTCTGTCTGTATAACAAAGGCTTTTAGGAAAGTTAAAATAAAACAACATATTTAATTTCCCACCCCCGCTTTGAGTATAACAGCATTCAGAAACATACAACAGAAAACTATAGGAAAAAATACAAGACAATTTTTAGGGACAAAAGTAGATTTTTTTTCAGTATTTGTGTTAATAACAGCTCAGATCTGCTTACCTCAGAACAGCTGAGGAAGGAGAGTTTTCAGAAAGCATTTCATGCACAACCTGTTGGCCACAGTAAGAAGTTAACAGCTCATAAATCAGTGCAGTCAAGAAGGTCAGATCTTTGGCACGTGGGCTCTGATCTGTACTTCATAACGTTGTTTCTGTTATAGCATTTCAAAACATTACTAAACACCATTTTTCTGCCTTCTTCCTCTGGAGTATTTCACAGAAATCAGTATGCTTGTGAAAAATACATTTAAGAAATCTGACCAGTTTCACTGACTCCATGTACAGCAAGATGAAAAGACAAAGCACATTCCTACAAGAACACTTCTACAGCACCTTCCTTTCCAGCATGGCCCATCAAGCTAGGGAATTGTTTCTAAAAGCTACAGTTTATATTCAGCTTTACTCCTCAGCAACATCAACACACAGCTTTTCCAAATAGAACAGTGCAGTGGCACAGTTACCTCTACGAATTGTAGCAGTTTTTCAGTAGCCACCTCAAAGCTCTTCCTAGCCGACTCCGATTTCCGCAGCTGACAGTCAAGAACAGTAACCCTCTTTCTCAAATCTTGGATGTTATCCTGGAAAAGATGTTTGGTATCTGCTTGTTTAAGGCTTTTATTTTCATCATTAGCTTCTATGGCTCACAAAGATAAAAGGTGTGGATTAAAATGGATGTCTGAAATGCTTTACACCTTACGTTTCCTACCCATACCTGCTCAGGTAGGTAATGCCTGAGCTGCTAGTAAGTAAGCACCCGGGTATCACATCAAGATAAATTCAGACTGGCAGCTGACACCAGTGATGGGCTGAAACTTAGGATGCTCTGTACTGTTTCATGAACGGATGAACAATGCTGAAGTGACACTGGCAGGACCTGTCAGCAGGGTGCCACAAACAGCCAGTGTGTGAAGAGCTGTGGTCCTCTGGTTTGCGTCTGTACATCCTTTGGCCAGCAGAGTAATTATGGCACATCATATTGAAAATTACCCCCCAGGATTTCTCTACATGCACTTGTATAAGCTATCGATCTGAGTTATTCATCCTTCCTCTCCTTCAGCTACAGACAGTGTGAGCCCAGCACCACCGAGTCTCACTCATTAGGTCAGGTGCTGAAGGCTCAGGGTTTTCTCCCGAGTCCTTGGAACTGCTCACATGACAACACCATGAGAAAAGTTTTCATATGTACGTAGGTTGCCCAAAAGTAACGCCTCCTACTTACATACACGGAAACTATAACAAAGAGCACTATAACATTATTTGATAGAGCAAATTCTCAGCTAAGAAACACTGTTTTTCAACACAGGCACTGCCTTTAGCTATGCATGTGGGTCTTTCACCCCGATGTTTGGAAAGGCTGTGACTCACCACACACACCATCAGATGAGGGGAATTTCTCCATGGGAGTTACACACATTTCCTATGTTGCTCCTCCGTAAGCTTGTACACCACAGGCGTCAGTTTTATCTTATTAAAGCCTTTTAATATTGCATTAATTCTCACCATGAAAAAAGGCAGCAGTTCATTAAGTCTCCTTCACCATTAATTCTTATGCACATCTATTTTTCATGAGAAAAAGAAGGCAAACGCACACATGCCAATCTGTTTGCACTTGTTTGAGCCATGTGTAGAAGATTAAAAAGCACCTCCAATATTTTTATTCCTCAGCATACTTTGAAATGATTCACTGGAAATGAAGTAGTTTTAAAATATGAGGCTCAATTAAAAAATTATAGGAAATTTCACTGGCAGACTACTGTTAGTATCATTTAAATTACTATCTTGATTAAATCCACATGTACTTAAGAACAGTACTGGATTTTATAACATTAATCAAACAGAAGTATAAAAAAAATATTCAGGTCACTTTTACATAGGTACAAAGGCAAACAAATGTGTGCATCATCTTCACAGCTGCTGTCAACAGAGCAGAAACTATTCCTGCTCTAATGCTCGAGATGTGCCATGGTGACCTGTGGCCCACATGTGCTCCCAGCTCCTGTTTTTCCAGCCCAAAGATGTCTGGATAAAGGAAGACTCATGCACTTCACATTATCCCCCTCACTACAAATCATTCCAGTTATTGAATAATACAAGACAAACAGTGACCTACTTTAGCAAAGCAGATGAAAAGAAAATGAAAACAAGATACATGACAACAGCAAGGAAACCATGGTAACTATGACAGGAGACTGCTTTGCTTACTTTATTTTGGCCACAGTGATCAGAGAGCTGAGCCTTCAGCTCCACTATTTCAGCTTCCAATAGGCGAATTACTTCTTCGTAGTCCATCTCCATTCCGCGCGCCTGCCTCTGCGCAGCTTCTGCAAGATGAATCCTGCTTCGCAGGGCTCTTGTCTCCTCCACAGCTGCCTTGGCTTCCTATAGATGATACAATTTAATTGAAAAGTTACAACTCCTGCTAATAACAAAGGGTTGTTTGTTTGTTTGTTTGTTTGTTTAAATGCAAATTTAGCTTAAAAGCATCGTGGTTCACGTTAGGGCTACTTTTAGGGTTCACAGTTAGCCCATCCACTTCCTGATTTTTACATCAGGTTTTTACAGAGATGACATTCCCGATGAATTACATCATTAATTCTGATTACTTTAAATCCAATGGAATTAAAGGCTTTATGGAAATGTATCCAAAGCTGTTAATTTTTCCCATTGCTTCAGTAGGAGGTGAAGTCGTTCTAATGGTGTTGCTACATACTTTAACATTACTGCCTGAGTTTGCACATCATGCAGGTGGATTCCAGATGCAACCATTCAGTCCAAGCTGCTCTTAAAGTAAGTGCTGCTTTTAATTTTCCTGCCCAGTTCCTGCTCTTGTTATTCTGCATTACCACAGAACAGTGTCACATAAAATTTATTTAGAAATACATGTAGAAAATTAGAAAAGAGAAACTGTTAAATTCTAATTCAGCTAAAAGTAAATGCTGTCAATGCTCAGTTCATTTTACTGCTGCATATCAACTCAAATTCAACTTCAGATTTCATGGGAAATATGTCATATAATGTTTAACAGGTGTCATAGTATGAATGTCTAGAAAGTTCAGTTAAGCCTACAATGCCAGATTTAATTCCATTGTTTCCTAACTTAGAAACATGCCTATCTTGCAAGCAATATTCTTCAAGCCAGGTTTTCCTACACTTTGACTGAATGTTTTTCATATAGAATGATGGCCAGCTCCACCACTGTCAGTTTCAGATGTGTTTTAGCCTGTAATCTGTTAGCCCAAGAAAACAATTATATTTTTTCAGGCTGTAAGTAAACTAATCTGAATGACATATATAGGACATCATCTACCCCATATTTACAATGGTTTTGCAACATAATACCAATTTGGATAATTGCCAGGGACATTCTGGTCCTTTGGAAAATAAAGCATTAAGAGAAATAAGCATACATGTAGCAAACAGCAATATCATTAGTGCAGATGACAGAGCTTTTATATAAAGATCTTTCCATTGTAACTGATAAAAGATAAATTAAAATACCCTTTAATTTGATAGCAAATACATATACATTTTCTTATAGAAGCACAAGCAGCATCAGGTGTGGCCAATGCATTCTACATGACTGTCATCTGCACCTGGGGACACAGGTGACCCAAAAGCAGAGTCTGTTGGCCAGCTGTTAGCACAGCACCAGGAGCTGAGCAGTGCTGGCTAACAGACAGACAGACAGACAGACTGCTGCCCATGGGCACAGCACAGACAACGCGTCCCTCCTGCACGTGGCTCACAGCAGCTCCCTTTCCTTGAAATTAGTCAGGGAATTTCTTAGAAGTTCCAATCCATATCTGCAGAGATCAAACCTACTGCTTCTGCAGAAGGACTTTCCTGCCGCTGTAAGAAACGCTGTGACTCATCAGCAAGAAAAGGTGGGCCCTGCAGATGACAAATGATGTTTTCATAATCTGAAGTAGCAAAGGCACCAGCAGTGAACCCGTGGTGAGGGAAAGGCTCTTGGAGAGAAAAGTGAAAAGGTATTAAGTTTGCTGAATATAAATGAACACAGAGGCCCCGACAAAGGGTAGCATCTTAAAAATGCATACGTGGGAATTATTTAAATAAACTGATATCAAATAAGTCATGGGAGAATTGCTATAATGAAAAGGGAGGTCTTTGTTTTGAAATAAGACTTCCTTGAGATAGAGGTTTAATCTCTTATAACCCAGAACTGCCTTCACTCCTCCATTGTTTCTTCTGAAACCCAATTGTTGAATATTAATTCCTCTGTAATAGCAGACTAAGTATGACCAGATTTCAACAATGGAAGACCTAAAGGAATAATTAACGAACAATGGACTCTTCTATTACAAGGAAACAATTATCCACACCAGAACTGAATTAGCAGAATTTTCTGACAAACCAGAGCTGTTTGCTACAGCAGGGAGCACAGAGGGATGGAGGCCATCAGCTTTCCCAGTTCTACAGTTACTGAAGTTGGCACTGCTGTGATGTGGTCGGTTCCAACCCACAGAGCTGAGGGGTGTCCACCACAGAGACCAGGTGGACAGCAGCATGCTGCAGCACCACTTCATCTCATCCCTTTTGATTGCAGGCATAAAGGAAGAGACAACAGAAATGGGATCTGCAGCTGCAAATATTTTACCCAAATAAATGCTTGGTGGAACCCTTTGTCCTAACGTGGCACAAAACTACCACCACAGTGCAGGCTGCAGAACAGAATGGATCCTTATGGAGAAGGCAAGGTGCAGCTTTCTTACATGCCAGATATTTCTCCCTTGAATTAATTCAAATGTTTACAGGTTTTATCTGAGAAATAATCCAGCCACCACAATCACTGAACAAAAGTATTCTTTTAAACCATCTGAAAAAGCACAGCATTTTTCAGTTATGCTTATTTGTTCATTTTACAAAAACTGCAAACTGGAAACACCATTTTAATAACTTCAAGCATCTCTACTATTAGAATTAAAAAAAACTAATGAAATAAAAGCAAACACAACGTTTCTTTCAGACATAATGAAATCATATACCACTTCAAAAATAGCACCCATTAAGCCCCAGTCTTCAAAGCACTACTTAGCCCTTTGAAACAGAAGCCCAGAACAGCAAATCTTACCCCTGTGAAATAAAAGTCTGGCAGTATGGGATGGATGCTATAAGCAGTACTGTACCTTTATGGTCTTTCATATTTGCAGTGTTTAGCTGAGGTGCTTCAGCTGTTAATAATTGTATAAAAATGCTCTCGTAAAGAAATCAGGTTGGTATGATGTAGGACTTTCAGGCAGTGTAGAATACAGTCAGACTCCTCCAGGAAGAGCAATGTCAGCATCACAGACCTCACATTCACAAAGCTGACCAGACTTTAAGTACTCAAATCTGTTCCTACCTTTTGCACCGATTCCTGCCTTCCTTATGAAGTGAAGGAAGACTCAAAGACACACAATGGGGTATCACAATCTCAAAGAATTATTCTAATTGCCAGACTAATACTAGAAAATAATTGTCTCATTTTAGCTATTTTTCTAATCTTACAGTTCCTATCCTGTTACTACTTATTCAAGCACCACTTAATGAATGGGTACTGGCAAAACACATCCATTAAAGAGAATATTTGTACGCTTGCCCTAATTAAGCTGTAATCTCCGGGATTCACAATTAGTAGACAATGGAAATAGAAAAAAAAAAAAAAAAAAATTCCTGTGTAAGAATGGTAGCGTGCATTCTCATTTAACGCCTTGCTTTATCAGGAGAATAATGAATTAAAAGTTCAAATTGCACTGAATTCATAAGACCTCACGTGTGTTTGTTTACTTGAATTGGGCCATTAGCATGCAGTAATGCTCCCAGTAACTCATTTCACTGACTTGAACTGAAGCAGGAATCCTCAACCAATGTGTGCTTTTTCAGCCTTTCTTGAGATTTTCTCTTCAATTTACAGATGCTTTCTACTCCGAATTGCCACTGAACTCTCTGCCTCCGGAACTAAGACCACAATGGGGAGGAAAGGAACAGAAACTCCGAAATGGCCCTACCTACGTGGCTGGGAAAGTTGCAGAATCTTTTGGGAAAAGCCCCTCAGCAGCCATGTCTGGAAAAAGTCCTCCTCTGAGCACCTTCAATGCAAATTAATTAGCTGTAGCCACAACTTAAGGCCAAAAACAAATCCCTAGATCAGCAAAACAATTTCAGTTTCTTGCTGAGTAGAAAATGGAAAGCATTTGCACACTTCCACTTTCCTAAGTCACACCCTTCCTCACCTCCAACAATCCCTGTGTGTCAGAGGACTCACAAAGAGGTTCAGATAAGCAGCCTGAAGTATATCACTATAAATTAGATGACAACTGGCAGTCTAGATTGTCTATTATTATTATTAACTTTGTATCATCACTACAAATCTCAGTGTCAACAATGGTTCTGAACCAGACATATATATACACTATATCAACATATAAAAAATATAAATGTAATAATTTCATATACACATATATATACTATTTATGTACAGTTACACATAAAATACTTGAAAATATGTGCAGAATACACAGAACTGTATTTTCATCAAAAAGCCTTCTGTACCTCCAAAGTCAGTCTCAAACAACAGCACTGCTGGAATGACACATCAGTTATTTCTCTCTTTCACTATCTGGGCCCTCTTCAGCAGCAGTTACTCAAAACCTCAATAGGAAATCTGGTATTTATCCCTTGGTGGGATGCTTCACTCCCAGCAAAGCCACCTTTAGGACATGTTCCAGGACAAGACAGAAAACTGAAAGTATGAGGACCTCACCAGGTAGAAAAGGGGTACTGCTTCCACTGGAACCGATCAGTCCTTCTCAACAAGAGCAGCTGTGTGAGCTGAGGCTCCATGGGAGGACCTGCTGCCACATCACCCGTGTTTACAGGTCTGTGCTTTCTCTTGGCTTTAGTTTGAACTGATGGACACCAGCTCCAGTCTGGAGTGACAAACTGAGGGCCCATTAATGAACAGAAACATATGGAGCACCATTGTAACATACTTCTGGTTAAATTCATCCAAAAAAGAATCTAGTTTATTCTATCAGGGTCTGCTGTGGAGAGCGTAACACCACAGTATTAATGGAGGAAGCTTTCAAGCAGTTCTCTTGCATTTGTGGAATGAAAGGTAGCAACAGTGGTGCTTAAAAGAAACATATAATGAAAAAAAACGTAAAACTAATCTTTGCATAGCAGTGAACTGAAAGATTTTTCAAATTATATTTTGCATTTTTGCATCTGATGCAACTGAGAGCCTTGAGAAGCCTCCAAGGAAGCCTGCAGCAGTACAAGAGAGAAGAAAGGGGAGCAGCTTTGGAAGAGGGCTGACAGAAGTGTTTGGTAGAAGCAGGAAACAGGGAAGTTGCTCTGGTTGGAAGTCAGGATATAAACAAATTTCAAGAGAGAATGATTTTATTTTAAAGAAACTTCAGCATACTTGCTTGACTACTTGTAGCTCCTCCGTTAACTGCTTCTGTAAATTCAGAGATTCTGATAATTCTTCCTGTAAAAATAAAATAAAGTATGCCATAGCTTGTATTCCAAACTAGATTCCAACTGCTATGTTCCCAGTTTGTGACACACTCTACAAATGGCATTGAATAAACACACAAACACACAGATTTTAAGTTCTGGTGGAAAAAAAATAAAATCTGAACATTTTCATAAAGTCTGGGACAGAAGCAAATTGTAATTCATGAAAGACAGTTTTTGGAGGGTTCATTAAAGTCATACTCAATACATTTCTCAAGCATCTGAGGATTACACACTGAACATTTCTGCAATGCAAATAAAACACGCTTTAAGCCTCTTGCTGCACAGCCACATAGAAAGTGCACAGAACAAAGACATCTCTGCGACTCGAACAGCTTGCTGCACAGCCTACATTCACATCAAGATATCTTCAGCATTGTGTTTGACCACTCTTTTAGCTGCCTACTGACACCAGCAGCATGTAGTCAGGCTGTGCTGCCTCAGCCTGCACCATTTCCAGAAGCTTAAAAGCTCTGGAGAAGTTTATTAAAAGAAGTGCCATAAAAGCACAGAGATGCTCACACTGAGGCAGTGCTTACAGATGTTTACAGGAAAAGTAAAAGAAATGAGGCAATTCTCATAAGCTGACATTACCAGCTTTCAACATCAGCTATTCAGGGACTCCTGGTCAGTATCCAGTACTTCAAATTGATCACTGGAGACCAGGCTCTTTCATTTCAGTACAAAGTTCTTTGTGAGAAGAGTCCTTGTGCACCAACCCAAAGCATTTGTGATCTCTAGCAAGGATGAATTTGTTGGGCCAGCTGACAACATACAGAATTCCTTGTACCCTGGGATCACACTTCCCACTCACTTCCAAGAACAAGGAGTTGGGGGCACTGAATACAGAATAAGAATTTTTTTTTTAAATCTCAGATTGCTAAAGTAATACAAGAACACAGAACAATGGCTGTAACCCGAGGTATTAAGTAAAAATAAATATATTAATTGCTTTTGGTCTTACGTATTTTGTAATGTCTATGAAAATATGCATTAATTTTGCAAATAGATTAATTTATCTTCCAGTTAGCTTCTTTCAAAATTATCAGACACTATGGCTGTGAGGATCACACATTTCCAAATAAAACTGCTATTGCAAATCAGTCACTTCTCCAAAGACACTTCAGTGAAACGGCTTCTTAATCTCATCTCCCTGTGAATCAGATTTAAAAGTGTCTTTATGGTCCATGTAGTAAAGCTCATGTTCTCCATACTGTGAGCACACGATCTTTAAGCATCATGCAGTTTGCTCTGCCTTTTTAGTTATTTATCACAACTTGAATGTATGATTCAAAAGAAAAGCAGCAACGTACACAAAAATTCGACTCTTGATTAAATTAACACAAATCAAAATTAAGTATTACCTTTAATTTGCTCATTTCTTTTAAAGCTTCATTTCTTTCCTTCTTAAGCTTTTCCATGTCATCCTCCAAAGTATCCCAGGTTACAAACTGTGCACATTTAAACAGGCCCTGTTAGAAACCAGCCCTACGTGCATCTCCCATAATCCTTAACATCCTATCTTAAAAGGTCTTGTTAATTAAATGAGAGGATAATTTTAGAATGATTTAAAGCTTTGGAAAATATTACTGAAATCACAAAGAATTTTTAAGAAAATTCTGAACAACTTATCAATTAATTTTTTCTGTTACAAAGGACTACCAAACTACTACAAAATGCCAAGACTACTACACTAACAGTCACCATTTTGTTCAATATTTTAAATAATACATTATTGTATTTAAATATTGCTATGCTACAAATACACTGCTTTGGCATTCACTCTTAAGTTACCTCCAGAATAAAGCGATATTCCATTTAGCAGCAGCACAAATCACTGGACCCCATAACTGTTTATTATTCACACAGGTAGTAGCAATGTGTATTCCATTTAAGAAACCTTGGCAAATCACTGTTGTCTGTACTCACAACAACATCATTATGTGAATTGCTTTCTGCAATGTAGGTTGTTTTAAAAAGCTTCACGGAAACTGGGTTATCTTAAAGCACAGCATGACAAGGAGCTGTGCTAAAAACCTGCCCAAGATTTGGAATAATCTCACACATTAAGCTCCCCAATAATCCCCTCCCAGCAGCTGAGCACTGCATACACACAGACTTTACCTGCGAATCTAACAAACTGGCAATTTCATCAATCCCAAATGTTACAGGTTTTTGGCCACCATCTGTTGAATCCAATTGCACAGAGAACAGATTCCTTGAAACTTCAATGAAATCTACAAAACAAAACAGTTCAGGTTTTGTTGCTGTAGTCTGCAGGTTTGTGTTAGTAGCAGTATCAGTAGGTGCAACACAACTGCTCAGAGCACAGTACAAGGCTGCTCTCAGAATGCAGCATCTGCTCTCCACAATTTTCTTAAAGGAAAACACAAATCTTACGGTTTTGTCAGACACATCCCTCTGAACAGAAGCAAGCTGGCAAAATAAGAACAGGTCCTGGCACAAAATGCTTTTTAAGTTGTGAAGGAGAAAGGAAAACCAGAGTTCGACCTCCAAGTACCTGCTTAGAGATGCTGTACATTTGGCAGACCCCTGTGAAAAATTAAGTGAGATCCGCACATCTGTTTTACACCCACCTGTCCCTGTGGATTTTGTGACTTCCCAGAGGAAAGTCTGCAGGAAAGAGACAATTCTGTGCTAGCTCACCACTCAACTGTACCTTTGTGAGCCTTTAAAAGCTCTGATAGAGACCTGGGAAAAGTGATGTTGAACAAGGAAATTTTACAAACACTGTGACAACCTCAGTGTGGCCGGAACTTACTATTCATTTTGAATGTATCAAAGAAAATGTACTGCTACAATCGGAGAGGAAATGTGAAGGTCAGTTTGTGAACACCACAAAATCTGATGGAGGATCCATCACCTTCACCAATAGGATATTTGAAAATCCAGTGTCATTTTTAGATGGTTTAGTACAAGCAATTATTTTTGTACCAGTATGAAAATTACATAAAATTTTTATACCAGTGTTTGATGCTGTTTTTCATAAATTTCAGGAAATTTCCATCAGTTATAGCACTGGAAATAAAATATCTCAGTTTAAAACAAATATTCTGAAACTGCTGGTGTCACCTACCAACACTGCCACAACCAACAGGAAAAAAAATTAGAAAAAGCAGCATGATGGTCTCCACACAAATGTCTCTCTACATCTAATAGCTGTTCTTGGTTATCTGAACAGCTGATAACAGCAACTGACCAAGTGAAACCATCTGTCAGTTTAGGTTCTTTTCTCTACCTCTCATATATAATCACTTCGTTTCAGAATTCTAAGCTTCTTTTTATTAAATAGAAAGGTTTTTGCCCTAAAGAACTGTTTTATTTGTGGTAGCAATCTGACACTGACAGAAAATACATCTACTATTTCTGCATTCATACATCTTGTTATTTTCCAGGGTAATTAAGAAATGATTACCTCCAAAAGACACTGTTCCGTTAGAATCTTTCTGAAGTTGCTGCCTAAGGGCTTGCTGCTGTTCAGCTGAGGGCTGAATCCCAAGATAATTCAATGCCTGGAAGGAAAAAACTTATTTTGGAGAAAAAACACCAAAAGGACCAGGGATAATGACTGCAGGGACAGAGCTACACTTCAAAGAGCTTTTGTAGCAGAGTGCACTCTCACTGACTACACTTTTATTCCAGACGCTCTTTGTGACTTCTTGTTCTAATTGAGAGATGTTCAGATATTATTTAACCTTGAATACAGATGAGCATAATAAGCAAAACCCTTTGTCCTTAATAACTTTCTTAAAAATCCTGAGGGACAATCAGATTCTCAGAAGAGCTAATGAGTAATTAGATTAACAAAAACAGTAATTTGCCCAATATATAAAATGAAATACTGTCCCAGAACCTGAAAGAGTTGCCTCAAATTCATACCTTTGGTTTTGTCAACTTAGGAATATCCTCCAAACGCTTTGCATTATAAGGAGGGAGGAAGGAAAATTCAGAAGAGTCTATTTACCTTCTCTAGCTTTTCTGCTTTGAGACGAATAGAAGAGTTCAAGAAAGCCTTCCTTCCTGGCAGACTGTAACCATTGTTCTGGTTGGGGGCAATGACTGAGAATTAAAAAAAAAAAGCAATTAATGATTCAGTTGTAATTCTTGCTTTGAAAAACAAAAGTATTGGTATCTTAAACTAATCTGAAATTTTCTTTAAAAAAAATTACAATTACTGAATTAATTGAGAGAAACCAGAATAATTTGATGGGATTCATGAAACATACAGCTTATTTTTGTAGTATTTTCCTTTCTCAGATCTACACAGCAAAACTCTGGAAACAGAAGGGGAAACACAGTTGTGAATTCCAAGAAAGATCTTCAAGACACACCTTCAGCACAATCAACAGTTCCTAAAAACACATCTAGTGATCTGGATAATCCTATGGGAAGAGAGGCAATGCCAATTAAGGATGTGTGGAGGTAGCTCAGCCTGAATTCCAGCAGGATTCTCAGCAGGTTTTTTCTGGGGAGGAACTCTTCCAAGGACTGCCATCCATTAAGTTCCATATTCCAAGAGTTTATCAGCCCCTTCCAGTTTGTTCAGTCAGAAATGCAGCAGTTTTGTGTAACTTTAACTAGTTGCATTGATTAATTCATTACAGTGCATCTTCTTAAGTTCTGAAGGAAGTTAAAAAATGCAGCTACAGCCCTGTCATGTTTCACACACACCTGTGACTACAACAGCGCAAGAGGAGGCAAAAAGCATAAACCAAAACATCTTGAACATCTCTGATGTTTCTCACATGCTATATTAAATTCTGAAGACAGTGGGCTAGAACCTCAGTTCAGTTGGCACTCTTTCTTTCAACTCAGAATGAGAAAGCTTTGTGCATGACTTTCTGCAAGAGTTTTTAAAAATTATGCTGATTTTTCCTACAGCTTTCAAAAAAATCCAAAAGCTACTTCAATTTTTTCATGATAATCCTTGGAAAAGGGCAATAGGAGAGAAGTAGCAGCTTTGGTTAAGGACTGGCAACAAGTGAAGTGAAAAGTGACAACAAACTTCAAGCTGGAGCTGCAAATTTTTCTGCTTTCTTCTCTGTTAGCTATGCTCTTCATAGAGGCTGACAAATTGCAGCCTTCTTGTTCTCTTTAGGCAATGTGAAGCTCCTGTATATTGCATTGTATTAAACAAGTCTCCTATTCTAACATACCCAACAACAGCTGTTTGTCTTATGCCTTTGATTTAATCACAGTGTTTTTAATCATCAGTATGACAGAGCTGAGATCATTAAACTCCAGGTGTACTCAACACTACAGCCTTTGCAGTATCAAAAGTTCATATTCCATCAGCCCTTCAGGGAAGAAAACCAACCAGTCAGGTTTGCACTATGGAGGCTTTCACCTGGAATTGGGATATCTAATGTGGACCACAAAAAACCCAAGTACAATTTAAATAATGTCAGTGCAGCAATATCTAGGATGAATCAGATGCTGTATGTTTGTCCTTCATCTCATCACTCTTCCCCCTCAAACAGAAAGAAGCACAGGTTCTGCTTCCTTACTGCTGCCCAGAACATTGGTCAGGTTTTCATACAGAGATAGTTTCATTATTGCTTTACATGAGGGTCTCATGATCATGTCTGCATTTGCACTGTTTATAAATACATTGCATATTAGCATCTCAAAGGAATGACAGGTGTTCAGGTCAGACTCGGTTCCAACCAAATTCTAGAACCTCTCTTTAGTTTTCCCTATTGTTGCTTTCATAACATGTCTTTGAAGACACGATCCAAGTGATTGCAGTCTTAGCTTGTAATGTCACAGCTCTCAGATATACACACATGCATTCTGTTTGTTATTAATTGAAACAGTGCTACAGAGAAAGCATAATGTTATTTCTATACTTCCAAAGCCTTGGTTAAAAAAAACGTGCAAGCAATATACATCCACAGAATTTCATTAAGGCAAGAAAGCACAGTTTCTATGGCAACATAATCTTGATCTATATGCGAGTCCTCATTATCTGGTTTCTACTGAGTCGGTTATCATTACTGCTATATAGCAAATGTTGTGATCACTCATTTTTGTTTGGTTTCAGATGTTTGTTGCTATATCTGACAGAAGTTACTGCACAATCCATTGATCTTTGCTTATTCTGTACCATAAAATGGTGCAATATTGTTTTTTGTAGAAGCCTACAGAATCTCACTACGTATTATTTTCTGTTAAGACAAATACTAAAGAAAAAAAGAGTGACAGGGAATTAAATCAGCATTTACCATGAACAGATACATCAGCAGGACTGCTCTCTGCAGAAGTAACTGGAGACTGCTCTTCCATTTTGACTCTAGTTTCCATCTGTGAAAGGAAATCAAAAGTCATGAAACACCATTTTGTAAGTAGGTCACAAACCAGACTAGAAGCACATATTAAACCAAGAGAGGGAAAAATAGGGCTGAACAAACTAAAACAACTCCAGCAAAAAATGCAAAGCACAGTGAGAGGGTACTTAGAGCAGAACCAGAACTTAGACCAGGGCCTTATCAAAACCTTCCATGGGTTTTGAGTATTTTTCACAGATGAAAACAGCAAAGCTTTCATGCAACTTGCTTCAATGCTTGCATCTGTGAGAGGAAAGAAAGGGGGCGAGAATTGAGTATGAACATGAAAACAATTGAGAATCACATTCTGACTCTGTTTGATGGGGAATCTTTTATTCTTCCTCATTCAAAGGAAATGCATTGTTTTATTTCAGAAGGTTGTTTTTTTGTGCTGTGTTGTTTTTTTTTTAATACAAATCATACACTAGCTAAAAAAAATGTTATTTCTTATGTTCAGCGTTGTTTCTTTACATTAAGGGTGAACTGTAATAAGTGCTTCTTACTTAGCCAAAATAAAGAAAACTTCCCATTTTTCGGGGATGCTGATTTTTAAGCAAAAATTTCTTCCTCATGGAAGAAGTGCAACCTGTGAGATTGTACTGTGCTCATGCAGAAACCATCAAGCACTTTAAGTCTGAGATACAAAACTGAGTAACTTGCAAATATCAAGTTCTGAAGCTCTACTGCCAGAAAGAAACAGAAAGAACTTTGTAACTATAATTGCAGTTGTGACTAATTTTAATAGATTTGTTTTCCTATTACAAGTCAAATAACACTCTTATTGCTCTCATCAATGTTTACCTTGCTATTGCACAACGTGTCTTGAAAGAACCCTACGCTGAAATTCCAGTAAAACCCAGAAAAGGACCACTTGCTTCTTACAGAAGCAGTAAGCATACTCACAGCGTTGGGGAGGAGCGCTGAAACAAGCTTTGTGTTAGGAGATGCCACAGGACTGGGGCCTGCAGCTTGCTGTCCAACAAAGGCTGCAGAAGGTGCTACGAGACTGGAAGGACGCTGCAGATTCTCTGAATAACTAGGAACACTTTTTTGTCTTATAAAAGCTATCTCACAAAAACTTTCAAACCTGAAATTAAAATCAAAAAGCTTTCAGGATACCAGATACTGTTCTATTCGTGAGAGTATGCACTAATAGTGCAAAAATTGTATTTTCCCCAACACTGCATTATTTCCTCTTCTGTAAAATATTTTATTCTCTACCACTAGAACCATTAGGTAAGCAGTGCTTTTTGGTTTTCTTTTTCTCCTTTAAAAGGAATGAAAGCACATTTTTAAACAGCTAAGGGGTGCATCTGAGTCTCCTTCAGTGACAACAGTATTTCAGCTGAATATATCAAAACCATGAACATCCCTTGTGTTTCCTCTAAGCACACACAGCATTTCACAGTAACCCAGTGTTTAATGCTGTCTAGTAGCCCATTTTGGAGTAGCTGTCTGGCAGTGGCAGATACCTCGTCCTGGCTCTGTCAATGATACTTTTTGCCTCTTCATAGGACACGCCAATCATTGACTCCTTGTTTATGGAAACAAGCTGATCTCCAGGCTGCAGTCGTCCATCCTAATCCACAACAAACAAAAAACAAAACCACAGATTTTGTATTAACTACCAACACTGGATTTTGGTGAAGCTGTGTAAAGAAATTTGGACAGCAGGACATACTTTTGTTAAAAAAGGATAAGCCACAGATATTTCCTTCACCAAGAAGTATCAACCCATAAGACTAGAGGAAACTTCTTACTGATTAACTCAGCTGAGACTTGGACTAATTCATATTTCAAGAATCAGACATTCTTGGCTCTAAGTAGGACTTTTCAGGGATCTCCTACCACGTTCACCTTAACAAGACAAGCAGACCTGTCTGTTGGGAATTGGCTAGGCAGAATTACCATAGAAATAATCATAGAAATAATACTGTCAACTTTGTGCTTCAGTTGAATTATTCATTGCAATTTTTCTACCAGCAAAGGATCAATATCACTTTTCTGTTTCAGGACTGCAAGACAAAACTTTCAATATGCATGGGCAGATTTCTCACTAATATAAAACATTCTTTACTCACTTTTTAAACAAACCTTAACAATTCAACTGAAAATGTATGGCATTCACCTACTGCACATCACCCATGCTTATAGTTAAAGATTTAGTTAAGAAAGTTGTGCAAAGTCACACACACAAAGTAACATCTGTGTTCTTCATTTTTTAAGAGATGAATCAGAGAAGCAATCTGACCACATAAACCAAACTACATAAGATTCATAGGAAGTGAAATGCCTTTTTAAGACCAGTATAATTTGACATACTTAATACTCTCATACGTTAAAATTTAGTTATGTTATTTCAGCACGTGATCACACTTTGTTACATTTCCTGTCGCTAAAAGCTCAGGTCTTCCATTTCTCCTGCAAGCAACCTGTTAAAAGATATCAATTTCAATGCTGCCCTCTGGTGGCAGAGATTTAAAATCCACTCCTCATTTAGGTTTCTCAAACAGGATAAAGAAAAGAGGGAAAATACCTCTAGCACTGCTAGCATTAAAACCTACTGCATACCCATGGCTCAGTCTCACTCCATCAATTACAAGCATGACAGACTGTAAGTACTTTAAATTACACACAACGAGAAAAAAGTTTCAAAAGCCAAAACAAAACAGCAAAAAGGAAGAGAAGGAGGATTACCATTTATCTACGAAGTCTTGGAGAGATATGGTGTTTTTTCCTTTCCATCTCTCCCTTTTAGGATTAACCTCAATCTACAGATGTTCAATCAGAAATAGTTTGAGACTGTTTTGGAGCAAAACTCACTGCCTGTGAAATTAATTTGTACCCTCTTGCTTGGCAGATGGCAAACACTGGTTTATCTACACATCAAAATAATCATAGTAACACAGGATGACAAGACGACACTTAGATAAACAGTTCTGTGTATTTGAACCAGACCGTTCTGTTGTTTATTCTTCTAAACTTACAAGCTCTCCTGATTTACATATTGCACTTGTCATAAATAAAAACAGAAAGCAGTACTGATTCAAACATTTTATAAGCCTGCTCTATTTTTTGAAATTATTTGCCTATACAATGCTTTTCTACTGCACGGATTCAGCTAAATCCAGTCCAAGGGGAAAAAAAAATAATGCAGGTCTGCAGGTCTGTCCCCTGCTTGCTGATTTACCTTGCATCATGCAACCTCTTACAAAAAAATCACTTTCTTAAGTTTCTCCTAAGTGGAACAGGGAATAAGATCTTCATTTACCCCACACAAACTTGCATAATTTTCATTACGAGGCAACCATGCTGTGGTGCAATGAGATAATTCTGTCCAGGGAGTAACAAAAATGAATTCCATAATGACAGTGTATGTGTGTGATGTATATTTGTACAAAATACAGGCAAAAGTACAGGGGACTCAACAGTGTGAGAAGGAAAGGTCTTTGCCTACCTTGTGACAGTCACCACCAGGAATAATTTCTTGGATGTATACCAAAGGCCCCTCATTTCTGTCAATTCCTCCAACAATATCCAAACCAAGGTTTGCCCCTTTGCAAACGGAGATGATTTGAAATGCACTATCCCTGGGAAGAGAAAGAAAATGTACAATTACCTCACAGTCTACATACTCACAAATGAGAGTGTCAAGCCTATTGATTTCACAGATGTGCACCACAGTAACAAACATAACCAGTGGATGGAATCTCAACGTTGAAGCATAATACAGCTTGCTTACTACAAAATCTGTAACTTTGGGTGTTGCTTCAGGGAATTACAAAAGGAACCACTATACAATGCAAGACTAAGCTTTGCTAATATAAATATATAATAAATAAATAAATAAATAAATCTCCAATGGACCATACAGGTACACATGAACCAGAAGCATGAATTCATTACAAGACTCTAAGAAGAACAATTGATCTGATTAATCTAATCTTATCAATTGAACAATAAAAAAAAAGAGAAAAAAACTCCTATAATGTGACAGTTGGTGTTATCAATGGTATTATAGGATTTAAAATACAGTAATTTTGAGCACTTCAGTGCTCAACTCCCTCTCAGACAAGGGGGTTACAATCAGCTTTGGGAATTACTTTGCAATCTTTGGAGATGCTGCTGGTACAGAATTTTTTCTGCTGACAGTGGTGATAACGTCCTCTGGAGGCAACTGAGGACTCTGTGACCTTGAGGATGATCCAGAAGAAAGGCTGTCCACAGGTTTTCCTTAAAGAACAATCAAAAAAGAGAAGTAAAACACACCTTTGGGAAAAAACAGTTTCAACTCACTTAAGTGGTTCGGTGGGATTACTTCCACGTTAGGAAGCAGCTGGCAACCAGAATAAAGTTTAACTCTACACAGCTAAGAATTGCAGCCAGCGTTCCAGGAACATTTCTTTACAACAGAGCAAGGGATGACTTTTAAAAATTTGGTGCAAAAAACATCACAACTGACTTTCCAAAAGAGTAATGGTCCAGTAATTGCTGTGTATAGACATTCTATATGGTATTCTAGCTCAAATTTTTATTAGTACTTCATAATCTTGTGATACTTTTCATCTACAAATGTCAAACACTGTTCACACAATTAATTAAAATTGATGAAAGTGGACAGTAGAATATGTAAGTTAGAGCTGGGGAAGCTGACATGCAAACCAATTAATTCACATGTTCAGACTACAAAGTAAACGGTGAAGTCCCAAGTAAATGTGTTTTGTCTGACTTTCTCTCCTCCACTACACCCTTCCCACAAAGCTTTCAGTGCAGGCTTCCAGTGCACACAAGCATAAATTCTGCCCCACAGGATTATGTCAGGACAGGAAGCAATCTCTCACCAGCTAATAGCTGTGTTGGAGAACTTCTTGCAGAATAGGCATCACTATGAGAGCCATACTTATCCATCAGGTCAAGGAATTCCTTCCTGTGGGAATAAAAAAGATCCTTTGTCAGGACTTGATATTGGTGCTAAATGTACCCTTAGAATTCTGCAAGCACCTCTGCTGGATAGTCAGTCACTCTTCTACAGAAAGAATAACACAGTCAGGCATACTACTGAAAAAGATCATCAAAAATAAAAATGGTGTTCTCTACAAACCTACTAAAACAAACTGGCAAAAAAAGCAACAGAAATGTAGAATAAAATACATACATAAAAGAAAAGGAAACAACTCCTTATTAATTGAATACTGGATGCAGCCTAATAGAAAAGCATATATTTTTTAATAATCTGAGCTATGAGCACCTCAGTATTAGAAAATGTAAAAATAAATGCACAAAAATCGAGACGATGTAAGCCAGAAACATCATTGAATTAATATTATGTAGTTAAAGATTGAGGACAAAGTTAACTGACCACAGTAAGTTCCTGTCATTGCAGTAACTGCAGACATATTGAAATCTGTTGGATGTATTGCTTAAAAAAAAAAAAAAAAAAGACCATTTATTGAACTAACTTTGAACCCAGGGAAAGCACACAAAGCCAGTTAAATGTAAATCGAACCTTTTATCACAGGGATGTAATGTCACAATTCATTTACTCAGAGGCATCTGAGTGAGGGACTATATAGAGTGGTGTAGCATCAGGACACTGAGCATACCACCAGAATGGTAAAAGGGCTGATGGATTTTAATTATTGAGGGAGTTTAGAGGAACTAGGTCAGTATGCTTTAGATAAAAGCAGATTAAGAGTACACCTCATGTATCTGGGCAGCCTGAAAAAAAGAGAGATCAAGGGCTGCAGCAGGGAGTCATTTACATTTCTGTCAAATACAAAAATAAAGGAGCAGAAAGAGGAAGGGTGAGGTGTTACAGCCATTTCCTCCAGAGATTTAATTCAGAAGGTGATGCAGATGTGGATCCTAACATCCCTGTGATTCCAAGCCAGTACTGGTTTATATGGCTAACTTTAGACAAGATTAAAGCAGTATTTCACATAAATGTACTTACAGTGGAGGTTCTGGACAACCTGCTGTGGTGAACAGTTTAACCTACTTAGCTAAACTAATTCAGAGCTCATTAGAGACTGAAAAGAAAACTCCTGAGGGGAATCAATACTCAAATTTGCCTTTTTTCAGAGAGCAAGACCAGCTTAAATCATATATCTTTGTGGTACTGTAGATCTAATATATTCCTACTTCTTTATTATTTTAAAATGTGAGAAATGTATAAAAAACACCCTATCATTATTGCAAATAAATTGTAACAATATGGTCTTGTAACATAACATTTCAATCCTCTTCATTAAACTGAAACTGTCCAGAGCTTACTGCTATGAATAGCCTTGATAAAGTGAGCCTTCCATACCCCCCTGCCCAGGGGGCTAAGAAAATGAACTGTTGTGAAATACAACACTGGAAAATGCGACACGTGCTGCAATTCTGTGATTAATCCTAATCTGAAAGTAAAACACGTGCAATCCTGATCCCTACAACCTTAGGTGCAGCATTGGATTTTGTCAGTTTGGAGGTGAAATTGAGGATTTCTTTTTCTCTTACTTTGCCTCTTCATCTCTGGCAACCAGCAGAGACATGTGATTAGATGCAGAAGCTGTTCTCAAGATGTCAACAGCCCTAGAAGGGTAAAATAATTAAGTAAATACATCAAAGTTTCAGTCAAGGTGGGTCATGCTAAAGTAGTGGGAAAAAGAACACATACTTAATGTAGTTAATCATTTTAACAGCCAGATACAAAGAAAAAAGCTTGTCAGTACCATAACCCAAAACTGACTGAGTGGTGAGTCAGTTCCAGGTGACAGCAATAACCTGGGATTGCCCTCTTTCCCACCCTTTTGTCCCCATTTCTCCTTGGTTGATCCTACTGCCTTCCTGGATCTCCTTCAGAAGTGAAAGCCTCCATCAGCAGCAGGGCATTGCTCAGGACTTCACTCGGCAACATATCCAGTAATTTTACTTTGAATTTTAAAGGTACATCTTACTCCAAAACTAGGCTCCACATCAATCTCTGGTGATCCAGCTACAGAAACCATTCTGGTTTTTTTTTTGAAGCAACTTCTCTTTAATTGTCCCATTACAATGACACTCGTTAGCTGCATCATTTACTCTCACCACTATTCAATCAGCACACGGTTATAAAAATATTTTAACAGCTTAATATTTTATAATGCTATTTACACATACATTCAATAAACAACAACATTATAAAACAGACTTATTCTGTCATTACAAAAGCATTTAAATGCCTGTAACTCTTCGACAGTGGTTTTGCATGATAAAATTTATCGGATCAATTCATTGCCAGTTCAATTCCACTGACCTCAGTGGAGCCATCTTTCACCAGTGGTCAGTATGGTCCAAATAATCCCAAGCAGTATTCCAAGCTCTAATAAACATCTAATTAACAGTACACACATACCTTTCATTGGTTACTCCAGTTAAGTTTTCTCCATTGACATCCAAAATGAGGTCTCCCGCGAGCAAACGGCCTTGCAATGAAATCAACAGCAATTCATCAATCAAAAGGAGAGTGCTGAACATATGATATCATGCTAATAAAACAGGATATATTCTTCCAATTTAAAATAAGCTGCAATATCAGGAATCACGACTACACCAGGCTACTTTAGATATCCTATCTCACACGTAAAATAAAGAATTGTTTCAACAGCTTTTGCTTTACAGCAGATTTGCAACAAAAGTAAATAAATAAATAAAATTACTTACTATCCACAGCAGCAACCCCTCCAGGCAGAATTCTCTTTATGAAAATCCCATAATCTTCTGCTGTTTGCGCCCGGTAACCTCCAATTATTTTAACTCCTGCACAAGAAAAGAAACAGGAAAGAAAATGGTTATTCCACCTACTGTGCCAACTGATTTACAGCCAAGTCCCTAAAAGACAGACAAATTAAACTTCTACTGATTGCAGTGTGAGCTGGGAAAGCTCACAAAGTGCCTTTAGATTCGGTTTCCTCTGAATCAACAGAATGTGCAGTCTACTCACCTAATCCATTCTGACAATCAGAAAAAGAAATGCGGTGAACAGCTCGATTGATTCCATGAGGGCCCATAATTGTCCTAGAAAAAAAAATAAGAATCATTAAATCCCTCATAAATCAATGTATGTAAAGTCAATACAGAAGGAAGTACAGCGACCGTGTTTGTAACACAAACCCAAAGCAGCTTCTTGGCAATTTCATATTATTCAATCCCTCCAAAGAAAATTCAATCTGTTCATCGAAATCTAAGATGGTAATGGTAAAATAAAGTACACTTTACTTCCTTTTCTCCCAAAGCATTTCAGGCCGAATTCTGAATCCCACTTTGCTTATAACAAAAGGACTGAAAATCCCACAGCCTGGCCCAGCTTAACCGTTTGGCAGGAAGAACACATTGCAACATCTCAGCTCAGGGAATGAATATTAGAACAGAACCACAACTAAGACAGTGCATACAAAAATATTTCCTAAGATATCTACCATATAACTGTGATTATTCATTAACATCATCTTTTCCCTGCAGTCTCTCATCTTTTCTTCAACACCACTCCATTTAAAAAGGCAAACCCTGCCTGCTCCCCTGCACACCTCCCACCCAGGCCAGCACTGTGGGATGGCACGTGCAATGAGTGTTCCATGGGCACTTGATAATGGTAAAGAACTAAAGAAATACACAAAGTAAAATCAGATCCCTGAAACCCACATTCACAATCTCATCAGAAATATATGGCCATGGGAATGTAAAGGGTAAGAACTATAGATCCAGTGCATCAGAGATGCTCCGTCCGTTCTGGGACAGACTCACCAGATGCCTCCTAGAAGAAAGAACAAGCACTGTTCAGGTTTTCCTGCTTTGACCTACATTTTGTTCTGTATTAGATAATGAGCAGTGTTTTCTAGAGCATGATGCTGAAGTGAAATGGAACAACTAGAATTCATTAACAGGGGAAAAGAAGATCAAAGTGGAGGACATAGTGACCCAAATCCTCCCACGCGACCAAATCCAGCGCAGGGCTTCAGCTCCAAGCCTGAAACCCCACATTTCTGCGAAAGCTACAGAATGTGCCATTAAAATGTGCTGTGCCAGAGAAGACAAAAATGCAGAAGGCCCAAATGTTGATAAATTCCAGCACCAGGTGAGAAACTCATGTCCTAAAGAACGTGCCAACTTCTTTCATTTTTGTGCAAGAAAACAAGGTGAGCCTTTTATCAATGGGTAAGCACTTAAAAACACAACAATCTGTTCCAGAACCTTAAATTCCCAAGCACCTGCAACTTCAGCCTTTGCTTCATAAAGGCTCACCTAAGAGCAGCCCAATAACCATTCCTCCCATCCTTTTCCTATCTTGCCTTCTGTTACCACTGTTCTGTTTCTCCTGCACTTGGACTCTCGCTGGCCCTCTGCAAAGACCCACAGACTGGCATTCATTATTCAAAACAGAGATCTCAATTACACTGCATTTCCTTAACAACACTGCTGTGTTGGTCCATCCAAAATACTGCACTTTCTCCTTAACTTCTAAAGCATTAATGAAGAGCAAACAGTAGCAAATGAAGCTCTCTCATAGAATATCAGACTTTAACCAGAACTTTCAGAAAAGAGAATCTAAAAATGAGCAAATGTTGAACTTCAACTTTACACCATTTATTTTTGTGAAGTTTGAAAATAACAGATCTCAGATCTTAAGTCTTCAGTATTTCAAAGGCTGTGGAGCTCACAGTATACGTGCTATACATCACAACATATTATCAAATTTAGGCACAGAATACATCATACAAAAGGAGCTACATTTCCAGGAGCAATGCTTGGAAGAGGGATCCAACTCACATGAAATTCATTCTGAGAGGATCCAGATAATGTGAATCAATTGGCAGTGATAACAGAAAATAATTTCTTTGCAGGAAAGGATGCAAATTAAATAATCAATTGAACATTGCTGCTCCCTCCTGTAGAAGTCACTCAGAAACACCTGTGAGCAAACTTCCAGCAGGCAGAGGGAAACAGGTGAGAGGCAAGAGATGAAATAAACAAGCAGGTGCTGACAAAAGGTGTGCTGTGACTTTGTTACACTGAAATTATGAAAAAAATATTCCAAAACAACTCCAACCAAAGTCCCGGAACATTAGCAGACAGCTTTGTGCAGATGTTCCAGTAAGGCAATCAATGAAATCTCTGATACTCTTTTCTATTACATTGTTACCAGCATATACACAGAAGCCAACAATTCTGTTTCATACCTTCTGGAGACTGAGCAGAACATGCAGCTCTGAGCCCTGTTCTGAATTCTTCAGAAATCACCATTCACTGCCATCTACCAAGCACTTGGCTGGTCTTACCAGAGGGTAAAAGCAAACAGCAAACCCTCACAATCAGCCATCACCTGGCACTTAAAATCTAACCTCTGACTGCTTACAAAAAGAGGGCAGCAGCTGAAAACAGCTACGGCTCATAAAGGACTGAAGGGTGCTTTCCCCAGCTGCAGGCAGAAACGCCAGCAGACCCGAACGGCTGAGCATACCAGTACAGCAGGGAGAGACCATCAAAGCGCTCCGGCTCGTCTTCGTCTCCAGGTGAGAGCAAGGACATCCTGCAGCACAGCAAACACCCAACGCACAGCAGAGCTTCCCAGTGCAACTGGACACAAGGTTACGTGCAGGGCAATTTCTGCTACTAACCAAAAAAAAATCAGACAGAGCCCCAGACGAGTGTCTCTGCCTGCTTAATCTGCTTGAAACCCTCTGCGTCACATGGACTAATTCAGCTATGGAGGTAATGTTTACTTTTTCTCCTTTGAAACAAGGATTTTGTAGCAACTTTAAAGAGACTGATAAACACAAGGGAGGGAAGTCACTCGCATTTACTAAAGCTGTGATTATGTGAACTATATTTAGCAGCAGCAACCAAGGGAAATAATTAAACTTATTCACTCGTGTTCTTCCAGTTCTTTATGTGCTCCATACAAACAAGGTCAGCAGCAGCAACTCCTGACCTCTGCCACACAGCCTGCCCACCAAACTGGGTCACCTCCACCCAGCACAAAAGGGAAAGCCCACAGAGCAGGCAGACAGCAGCATTAAACAAAGGCCATCATGCTATTACCTTGCATTCTCTATCACAGCACTGATCCGTGTCCTGCTGTAACTGATTTTTAGTCTCTCAATACCCAGCAGTCACAAGTTAAGCAGAACTTGATGACGTGTGTTCAGTAGGAATGGATACTGACGTGTTTTAGTCAAGGCAAGCAGAACTGGTAGAAGAGATGATCTCATTTTGTTAGTATATCCCCAATGGCTTTTATATCATGAGGAGGTGCAAAGCAGGTAGGATTCTGCAAGTCACGTTTTCCTACAAAGCAATCTGAACAGCCTATGATCCTTCTGTTCCTGAGGCTTTAAAAAAATTAACATAAAGACTTTTCACTTGTCACCTAGTGCTCAGAACTGCCCTTTTAAACCCAAATGAGTCTCAAGAATTGCCCCGCATTTCCGTGCCCACTTCCAGGAATGCTTTGTCACAGAGCTATCAGAAGAGCCACACAGCCCTGCAGTGCCTGCTTGTCTCAACAAACCCAACAGTACAGCAGAAGAATACCTAACAGAACCATTTTCTGTTGCTACGTTGAGAATAATCCTGTTCAGAAAAGAAAAAATACACCACAATTTGCAGAGCTTAGACTCGCTCCTGCAACAAGGCTTGGTCCTCGCACCGATTTTAAGGAGTTCTGAGCTCCTCAGATCAGTTTGGTTACCGACTATTTTCCACATTTGCATCACAATGCACTCCTATAATCCTCCGCTTCCCAAACTACCTTGACAGTATTGCAACCCAAAATGAAAAGCAAACATTGTGTGTTGGCTGCAGGCTTTACAACAAATCCTCCCTGCAGCACGGTGTCACCTTGCCATGAGACAGCATCTGTCAGCGTCTGGAGCCGCACAGTGGGACAGCTTGGCTATGCAAGGAATGCATGTGCTGAGCCCAAGCGCTTTTTTTTGTTAAAGTTACAGCAACTGTGGTTTTATGAGCCTGTGGGCATTCCAGGAAAACAACCCTTTATGCTTACAAGCCATGTGTTTATTGTGTGTGATCAAGAATTTTGAGATCAGCCCTCAGACTGCACTCCCACTACACAAGACAGAAAGCTGAAGGCTGAAACCAAAGTGACCCCCAACAGACAGACAGACAAGCCTAAGCCTAAGGATGGAAGCAGAAACATGAACATAGCCTTCCCAACTCCCACAAAGCAAAGGACTCCCACCAGCCTCATTCAGATTGCTCACACACATTCAGTGATGAAAACAGGTGCTTTGTAGTCCTTTCTATTCTGTTTAACTTTTCTACTATTACTGGTGTTAGTCCAGAGAAGGAAAAATCACTGTTATTTTCAGCACTATATCAATTGGATTTGCTCCAGGCAAGGTTACAGATGGTAGCAAATAAAATACCCACTGCCTTCCTACAATTATCTTTTTGGTGTTCTTAACAGTGCAGTTCAGTTTGTGGTATCACTACACGTATTTGTCACAACAAATCACTCAGACCAACGCAGCATGCTCACAGCATCGTGCTTTCTGCAGCACACACACCAATAAAAATACGTTTCAAAGCTATATAGTTCCATTATTCAAAAGCAAAGACTAATCCTTATTAAACCATGCACAATAAACTTCTCAACATGTAGAGATGCAAAGTAGCATCACCTCCTTATTGTTCCAGACAATTTTAATAGTTTGGTTATCAAAAACACATCCCTTGTTCAAAAACTTGCTCCTCCACTCCTTCTTCAAGAAAAAACCCTGCAGTTCAGCTTCCTGAGTTCCTCCCCAAGGCTTCTACCCCTCTTCACCTTAAAATCCTCCTGCTGCGCTGCTCCTACTGTTCCTAAAGAGACAAACACAAAACTGGGATCACTTCTGGTGCCAGCTCTCTGCCTTTCAAGAAGGTACTCTGTGCAATACAAATTCCCTTTTACTTCCAGGAAGAACTAGGGACACTGTGACACCTGCAAAGCCACTCCTGCTAAGTGCAGGTCAGACTGAACTTTGGTGGGACGAGGCACAGCTGTGCAGCAGGCAGACAGGCTCCATTTCTAACAGCCAAACCATCCTCATGTGGCAATGTTTTAAATTATGACTCAGCTTTCCCCTAAGAAATTTTGTAATGCTTTAGCAACCAAAATGGATTACAGAATAATTTAGCAGATGATAAAAAGACCTGTATCATCTCTGATAGCAAGATTCACAAGATCTTCACAAATTAAAAAGGGCTTTATGAAAACCCCATTTAAGCAAATGACGCCAACAGAACCTTTTTAGGTTTGCTAACGCTAAAAGGTGAAAATTCATTGTGACCCCGAGGACCCAGCCAAGAGAACACTTTATCACACAGTGTAAACAAACTCTTTCTTCTCATCTATCTCAAAGCATTAATTATTCAAAACTGTATTTTGTTGATTAGATCATACTCATTAAAAGAAAACATATAATTATGTGCTGATCAGTAAACACAGAGGAAAAAAAGCTGGAGCAACAAACAGTGTAATTGGGGAGAAGCAGGAATGGTTTGAGGGTAACCCCTGTGTACAGCAGGAGCGTATTATTTAAGTTCAGGTAAACCTCAATTAACATCTAATCAGCTGCGTTCTTGAAGCACTCTACACTGATACTGTCTCCCAGAGTTTAAAACAAGTATAGAAAATGACAGTCTGGCACCACAGTGTGGCTCAGGTACAGTTATAGCACAAATTTCATACTTGTTCCTTACCTGAAAAACTGCTTTAGGAAGTCAGTGACCCATTAACCGTTTATATGAAACACTTCACTCAGCAAAACATAACTACTTAAAGGTGTATTTTGGCATTACACACCTTATCACCTTTATTTCCATTTGCCTCTTCAGACCTCAGTAAAAAGTTAACTCTTTTTAATGCTTTACACTGGCTTTTTTCTGTTTGCACGATTATCACAAAATGACATAATTAAGTATGCTAAATCCCTTAATGAAGCTTCTCAGCACCACAAGCTGGATCCTATTGCACAAACACAGCAAACATGATACAGCCCAGCAAGAGCTGCCTGCTTTTAGTTACAGATTCAATGATGCTGTTGGCATGGTTACCGAGCAGTTTATGACACTAAAATAATTCTTATTATTCTGAAAATATGATGATTACATCAGCTCCATTCAGTGATGGGCACATGCACAAGGAACTGTTTGCTATGCAGCTCACAAGTACGTGTCCACAGCCTTAGGACCATTAAGGAATTTTTCCATGGGGTTTTATCTGTGGACAAGCAGCTCAAATGGAGTGCTGAGAAACCTGATGAGAAGCACAGGAGCTCTCCTCCCCTTCTGTGTAAACTCTTTGGTGTCGGTGTCACCTTCCGTAAGAAGTTGTTTCAGTATCAAAGTTACTTTTAAGGCATCATCAGAACACATTTCTATGTAGACAACTTCAAGAACTGCCACGTTACAACTCCATAACTGGTGTAAAAGTACTCACGTTTCATTGGAAGTTGCTGGAGGATCCGTTTCGGGCATCTTCTATTTCAGTAGAAGCTCAAAACGAATTCTGAGACACGAGGCTCATATCTGAGGCAGTAATGGCTGTGAAAACAGGGGAAAAAGCTCTTCCAAATTCACACGGCTACGTCTTCTTTCATGCATGCCAACCATTCCACCACTGCCCCACACCAGGGTCAGGTGGGGAAAAGAAAGAGCGATAAACAAAACCCTTCAGTGTCAGAAAAAGCAGATAACAGCTTTGGACCTGAAACATCCGACATCCTCGTTAATCGTTCATTCTAAAACATTCGTTCTAAAAAGCGAACGAAGTCGTCGGGATTAAAACAGCTGTGAGCAACGCGACGCCAAACGGGCTCGGCCGCAGCCCTCGAGAGAGCAGGGCTGGAACCCGCCGCTATCAGCGCTCAGCGCCGCGCCGCTGGCGGACCGCAGGTGTGGCGGAGCGCCGCGCGCAGCACAGCCCTCACGGGAACGGAACCCGCGAGGAGAAGCGAAGCGTCCCTGCCGCTGAAGCTGCAACGAACGCTTTCGGCTGCGGTGCGGTCGGTGCCCGCGCAGCCCCCTGCCGCCCCGCAAGGCACAGAGCCGCTCCGCGCCCGCAGCCCACCCGGTGCGCGGTCCGCGGAGACAAAGAGCCCCCCGAACCGGCCGGCCGGCACAGTCACCTCGCTACGCGGACGCCGCCCGAGCGCCGTGTCGGGGGCCGGGGAGGCGACGCCCGGCGGGAATCCCGCGCGCCTCAGCGGGGCGGCGCCCACGGCCCCGCGCACCGCTCGCGCCGCTCCCGCCCTCAGCCGGGCCGCCCCGCTGAGGCGGGCCGTGGGGAGGCGCGTCTGGCGCCGTTCCCGCCTCCTCTCGCGAGAGCCGCGCGGCGCCGCGTGCCGGCAGCATGGCGCCGCGGCTGCCGCTGTGCTCGGGCGCGCTGCGGGCTCTGGCGCTGGGCAGGGCCGCGCACCAGCCGTGCCGCGGCGGCTGGGCGGCCCGCGGGCTGCGGAGCTCCAACCCCTTCACCCGGCGGCAGGAGGAGGAGTGGCGGCGGCGGAACCGGACGGCGCTGACCTACATCGCGGCGGCCGCCGTGGGCATGGTGGGGATGTCGTACGCGGCCGTGCCGCTGTACCGCCTGTACTGCCAGGTAGCAACGGGCACAGCGGGCAGAGCGGCCGCAACGGGCACAGCGGGCGGCGCCCAGCGCGGCCTTTCCGCCTCTGTGTCCGCAGGCGACGGGGCTGGGCGGAACCACGGGCGCGGGGCGCGGCGCGGAGCGGCTGGAGGAAATGCGGCCCGTGCGGCAGCGCCTGCTGAAGGTGACGTTCAACGCGGACGTGCACGCCGGGCTGCAGTGGAGCTTCCGGCCCCAGCAGAGCGAGATCTACGTGAGTCGCGGCGGGGTGGCGCTGCCTGGGGCCGTCCCGGCTCGGGCTCCCAGCCCTGCTGCAGCCGCGGGGCTGGGTTTGCCTGGCACGGGTGAGATGCAGAATGCAGGCATACGCCGGCAGAGCTGCTCTTAATGCACAGCGGGGAGGGGCTGTCCCAAAGCAAAGCACAGAGAAACTAACGGGTAACCCCCAAAGGGCACGGAGGGGGGGCTGCAGCGTGTGCCCCGCGGTTCTCCTGCAGGTGGTTCCTGGAGAGACGGCGCTGGCGTTCTATAAAGCAAAAAATCCTACAGACAAACCAATAATTGGGATCTCTACCTACAACGTCGTGCCCTTCGAAGCGGGACAGTACTTCAACAAAATACAAGTAAGCGAGCACAGATACGAATCGTTATTTGTAAGTGATTCCTTCTAATTTCAATGCTGGGCATCATTCTAAATATGCCAGCATGTTAAGAAAATACCTTAATTCCTCATTTTTAGCCTTATCCTCTTGATAAAAAGCATAAAGAGGTCCCCGGTTCCCTGGCATTTGGTACAACTTGTCCTCTTGCTTGTACAGTTGATCCTTCCCCAAGCTACAGGGATGTACAGGGACTGAGTTAAAAGATGAAGCGTTCCCAAACTATTGCAGAGAAAGTTCACAGTTTTTGTCTCATTTTTTTTCCCCTTCCCCCTGCAGTGTTTTTGTTTTGAAGAACAGTGGTTGAATCCTCAAGAGGAAGTGGATATGCCTGTCTTCTTCTACATTGACCCAGAGTTTGCAGAGGACCCCAAAATGGCTAAAGTCGATTCAATCACCCTCTCCTACACCTTTTTTGAAGCAAAGGAGGGACAGCACTTACCGCTTCCTGGCTATCAGTAATGGCCAATCTCTACCCCTGCCTTCAGCTCCCTGACTGCTACTTGTGAAACCATTTTTCTATAAAAAGAAAAGCTGAAGGAGCACTGTGAGACGTGACAGAATTATTAAACTACTGTGGGCACATGCTCCTGTTATGGAAGCATGTGTTTCTTATTTAAGCTTGTACAGTTGGAATGTTACCTCTTAGGAGTAGTACTTCATCAGAAGACAGAAGGGATCTCTTTCTGGAGTAGAAAGTTGTCTCAAAGCCATCCTTGTATCAGATGATACATGCTCAATGAATTCCATGAGGCAAATTTTTAAATCTAAGTGTAAATTGAGATACTTAAATTTAGAGGAACAAATCAGTTTATTAAATACCTAACATTGCATTGCTGGCTCTGAAAAATAATTAACTTACCTTTATTCAGTGAAAGGTTTTTACTTCTCAATAGAGCAACCTAATCAGTTCATGGTCTCTCAAAACTTGACCATATTGCTTTATAGCCTTCCCACAGCACAGGAAGATGGGATGATTTGAAGATGATGCTCCTTCTTGAATTATTACTGAATCAGTAATTCATTTGGTAAGAGCAGACTGCTCTAGAATTGTTGTTTGAGTGAGGAACAATAATTTAAGCATAAGCATTTTGAATCTGTGGACTGCTTGTAAAAGCATCTGACTTGGAAGGGAAGTAATCTTGTTCTTGTGTTTATAGATATTCTGCATAGCTTCCATGTAGGAAACTCATTTAAAATATCAGCACTGTTACAAATTCCTCTTCCAGTCCTGCAAGGGCTGTACACCAGGCACCTCTACACAGAGAGAAGCTAGAAGTAAGAAAAGTTCTGAAGGGAAAGACAGTGCACAGCAACTGCTCTGAATCACAGGCTGAAGTGAGGCACCAGCAGAGGCACCTCAAAAACCAAAAGGATGTCAACCACATTCAGAGGTTAAGACTGACAAAGTCTGCCCAGAAACACACCAGCTGATCAGAGTACATCCCAGTACTCACTGTTTACCACCAGAACACATAACCCTGTATTTATCTAATTTTTTGTCATCATGTGGGGGGGAAGGGATAATAACACTTTATCATAACCCTGCAAATAAGGACTGAGTTGCAGAGCAAGTTTAAGTGATGTAGTCGTTTTCAGACAGAAATTAATCTCAGTTGAATATCTCATCTACTAGGCCAGTTCTTTCTACCCCTTTCAGTGGATGATATCTCAAGAGTTAAGATTGATGCTGGTTTCTTAAGACTCTAAAAAGGTACTGAGTATATCGTAAGCTGCCTTAGTCTCAGTTATGCTTGCATACAAAAATGATAAGAACGGTGCCCTTTGAAAATACACAGGTGCTACCTTCAAAATGCATTTTTGTACTGAATACCTCGTGTGTTTAAAAAGATTCTGGATGACATATGTCATGCTTTCACTGTATTTATTAAAGTTTAAAACTACCATTAGTGCTGTCGTATCTTTAATACACTTTATCCAGAAGAATGTGGATCCCACATAAGTGGAATGTATCTGTATGAATAGGCCAGCAAGCTTTATGATAAATCTATAATTCCAGTTGTAATTCAGAAAAAAATAACAAAATGTTATCAAGATGAATCTTAGAATCCAGGCTAGGGAAAAAGAATAGTAAAATCTTACCTTGGTTGCCTTTACTCTATTGTCGTTTAGAAAAGTGAGCTCATCCTGGAAGTCCTCTCTACACTTTCCTTTGTTCTGGCTGTGTGTTTTAGAAGAAAATATCCTCTTGACAAATTCTAGTTCCATAAAGGCTGCCTTCCCCTGAGTTTGAAAGCCCAAGTCTGCACAGATACTGAGCACATCCCAACAATGAAACAAGCTCTGTAACCTCAGTGATTAGCCAGTTCCCTTCACAGTCTTCATCTATCTGTAATCATTTTCCTTCCTTAAATACTGACAAGTTCAGTTAGCAATCATTTCATTATGGGTTACCCTATTGAAATAGGCTATTTAAACTTGTTACACTTTGGTATGCTAGGGTCTTCGTATAACTAAGCTGTAGGAAAGGTCATCCATCTCAAATCTTATTTTCAGCTGTCTTCTCATGCTGCTGTCCAGATCACTGCAAATAATGCAAGAAAAACAACAGCAAAGAGGCTTATCTTTTTGCCTTTGTTACAAGCCCCCCCACCTTCCACCAGATTCTACTGGTTCTACACCCAGCTGCAAACTTGAGAACCAGATACTTGAAACACCATTGAGCCACTCAGCTTCTTCCAGTACTGTCTGCATTTAGAACATGCATGTCAGGCTACAGAAACTCAGAAGTAATGGGGCTTAACTATTCAGTAAGCATTCGTTTTTATTTGGAATTCTATGCTACAAAAATTCCTTAAGGCTTAAGTGTTTGTGTCACTTAAACAGATAACAACGAACACTTAAAATGCAGTACTTAAAGATGAAGTTAGCTTATCAGCTATGAACATAAACCACATTTTCATTTTTGTATCAATTACAAATTCAGAGAACTAGATCTGTAAAGTGCAGATTTTACATTCAGCATTAAAATAGACAAGGCACTTAAACTATTAAGAGATAAAAACAGCTTTAAATTATTTGATTAAAATAAATGGATAACTAGTGTTCATTTGCATTGTAGATGGATACTTTTCCTTCACCAGAACAAGAAGCTCTGCAGAGCAGAAACACTAGAAAAAATAGTGATCCCCTTCCACTATTTACTAATAACCACAACATGGCAACACACAGCTTTTTTCTGCTCTGTTAATCATAGATGACAGCACTGGATGTCCCTGCTCAGCTTCTTACCATGACAAAAATCCTATTAATTTGTGGGGTTATACAAAGAAAACAAAATCCATATTCAGAATATAAATGTAAGAAAGTGATAACTGTGTATCTTTTATATCTATCGGGAGGCTCAATTTTAGGAAAGTCCTACATTTCCAAAAAATATATGTGTATATATATATTTATAGGAAGAGAATTTCACAGACATCAACATGGCCAAAACAGAAATAGGATTATGTGGTATGAAAGAACAGATTAAGATGGAAGAAAAGCTTTCTTCTATAGTTATGAGAGTGCTTTTAATTTACTTGTTTTTGATATCATGTGCTACTTCATACACAGGTGACCTTGGAAATTATATTTTGAAGGCCACAGTACTTAAAAAAAATAGCAATCATGTAAGTCACCTGGAATAATACACAGTTGAACATTTAAGATGAATTCTCAAGGCGTGGATCCAAGTACTTGTCCACTTCTCATTGCTCTTTGTTCACATGTTACATGAAGCAGTGCCCAGGAGCAGCACCAGAGTAACTTCTGTGTTCAAATCTCCACCTTCAGCATTCTGAATGCTTTTCAGCTTCCGGCTTCAACACAGCAGCATCAATTTCTTCATAAATTGCTCTGACAGAAGACGAACATGGCAACTCTTATGTCACAGTTCTGTTTCATTTAGCCAAAATACACCAATTAAGTCCTGCCTAGGAGTTTATGTTGTTTATCTAATAGCGTACAAGCTGCAGGATGCTCAGCTTTCCACAGCAAGGAGCCCATCCTGAGATGTTTGTGATTGTATGCTGACTGAGATATCTCTGGAAATGGTCACTTTTGATTAAATAAACATGACTGCAAAATGCAAATGGCCTCCATCCATGAGACATGTAACTATTACACTAGTTTAATAAATAAATGAAAGCTTTGTTGAGGTTTTTCTACCTCACAGTTTGATGGTTCCTCGAAAATAAGTTTTGTGCAGATGACTCAAATTTTCTCAGTTTACTGTTAAAAGGAGAGTTCTGCCATGTAGTTAGTTTATACTCGTTTTCTGCCTACTTGGCTGTCTGGAGAAGCCCGGCTTGTATTGGTTGCTTATATTTTAAATTCAGGATTTTTTTGAGATTCAGCAAAACATTAAAAATAAGGTTGTATGAACAGGAATTACTTCACAGAATCATGATATGGTTTAGTTTAGAAGGGACCTTCAATGACAATCCGGTCCAACCCTCTGCCATGGGTAGTGACATGTTTCACCAGATCAGAAGCTCAAAGCCCAGCCCAACCTGATTTCAAACTCTTCCCATGGTTGGACAACTTGTTCCAGTGTCTCAGTGTAAAAAATGTCTTCCTCATGTCCAGCCCAAATCTATTTTCTTTCTGCTTAAAGCCATTATCCCTCATCCTGTGACTAGAGGCCCTGGTAAGATCTCATCCACCTTCTTTACGAGATCCTTTATGTACAAGAAGGCTACAATACAGGGTCTCCAAAGCCTCTTCTCCAGGTTAAGCCATCCCAACCTTCAGCCCATAGGGCTGAGCGGTGTTCCAGCCCTCTGATCATTTTCATGGCCCTCTACACGTGCAAGTTACTTTGCTCCAGAACTACCTGTGTTGAAACATCAACTGGCTTCCTCCACTACGGCCCAACTGTGTTGTATTCACCTTTTCCTATCACTTAATAGCATTTTTTTAATAGTTTTTGACATAGCACTACTTCACCATTTTTGCAGATGCTGATTACTGAGCACACTACAGGAGTCTATTCCTTAATCAGTTAAGCGAGGAGTAATAAAAAAAAAAAGCTCCAATCCAATTGGTCACTTAACTCTGCCTAAACAGTATGGTCTGTTTCCTTACTCAGAAGAAAGCCATCTCAGAAGCCCTTTTGCCTTTGGCACCTAAGAGAACTGTAAATTACTTTAAAAAACTACTTACTCTGTAGGAGCCAAAGGATCAAATTCCATTATCTCGTAGTAATGAGGTGACTGCAACTTGTTCTTCGATGCAGCTGAGGGTAAATACAGACAGATAAATCCAGATTTAAACATAACTAATAGCACGTTTTATGAATGTTACTTTTTATTTTTTTCTGAAACAAGCATATTATCTTGTATCTAGTTGCTTTAAATACTAAAATGGGCAGAGAAACCATGAACTATTTGAGTTTTTGTCAGTGTTTGGTGCTGCTCTCGTCTTTAATAGGCATTATATAAAGCATTTACGTGCTAACAAGAAAATAAATCTCCATAAGTGGTCTGCAGTAATGTTACCTGCTGGTAATGGTCCATTTGATGATGTAGCATGTCCAGCCTGCAGATTTACTGGATTCAGAGGCACTGGGCTTAAAAGAGTTGCCAGCTGAAGGAATCAAGCAAAACAATGCATAGATCTATGAGAAACTGCTGACTTTAGACTAAAACAGGTAAATTGTAAAGGTAGGCCAACATTTAGAATTCTAATTAATCTCCCTTCCCCACACAACTAAGTTGGCATGGCCACAAAACACAGAACATTCCCTGATGACTGTGACACAGAACAGGACTCTGTGTCCCCAGCAGTCAGGGTAAATCTTTTTGACTGGCAATCAAAAACTTGATTTGACTGGTAAATCTTTGCTGGCAATCTCTTGCCAGCAAAGAACAATAATTCTGAAGAGGAGAGCTACTCACATTGCTATACGTGTGTCCAGCTGGGCTGCTTACACTACTGTTGTGTGCTTCAGTTGCAAATCTAGGAGAGTAATACATTGAAAGTAACTGAGAAACTATTACAGCTAAATATTCTGATCACTGCATTATCCTTATCTGCTGTGCTATCTTTACCTTAAGTCACAACCGAGAGCAGCATGAGCAAGTGTTCCATTTTATGTAATAGGTGGAAAACTGCAAGGATTCCTTTTTCTATTTTAAACTGTTCTTCTTGCTCTGTACAATTCATCTGTTTCTCCCTTTAACTACAGCACAGGCAACACTCAAGCAGCAAATCAATATGTATCTCAACTATCTTGAGATAAGTTCATGGTTATGACTAAAAGGTGCTTCAGGGTTAGTGCATATTTTAAGCATGTTAAGCAATGTCTAGCACACAGAGTTTTCACTTTTCTACTGGACTAATCTGTAGAAGTATTAAATTACTTTTTTTTTTTTTCCCAGAGCTTTCCATAAAAATTCCTTGTCAGTTACAGCAGACTCAAAGTTCTGATTATCTGCTATCATTTCTTGACAGATTACTCACGGGAACTGCTGAACTTTCGCAGCAGCTGCTAAATCTAGCTGGGGGTAAATGGATGGATGGAGCCTTTTTGTATCTTCAGGGTGTGCAGATATGGAATCTGAAATTCAAAGTGATATTTAATGATCACTTAAGCGTTATTAAGCAAATGTTCCTTACTTGTACTATGACCAATGAAGTTTTGTTTGGAAGGCATATAAAGAATACAGAACCAATTGTGTTTATTTTGACAAAGACAAAATTATAACTGAAACTAAGAGATTTAGTCACTCCTTGCACTGTGACAGAAGCCTGAAGTCAGAGAAGGTAAAATGCCCTTCTCAAAGTGAACTGCTGTTGACATCAAATGCCTCCTTGAAAAAACACAGGAAATCAAGAATAAAAGAATATCTCAATTTCTTTCTTCCAACCTTCAGAAAAGCAGCTATCACACTGTTTCATAAAGAATGTTCTTTTGTTCACACTGAAATGCAAGACTGAGATCACTGCTCTCCCTCTAAAAATATTAGAAGGAACCTTATGCCATCTTGTATTTATTTTGTTTTTAAACATGCACACCCAAATTATCATGTTTTTTCAGCGTATGGGAGTACCTTTCTTTCAAGGAACTACTCGACCCATCCACTAAGCTCACACTGGTTTGTTTTAGGAAATCAGACTGCCAGGGAAACATGCATTCATCACTTACTAGGACTTGGAAACTGAGATGCTGCAGGGTCAGTTCCCAGCACTGCAGCCACAGGAGATGGAGAATCTGTAGAGAGGTCAAGGAGGTCACTGGAGGGAGCAGACGGCTGTTTCCTGTACAGCTTAACATTCAAAAAGAAAGAAAGCTATCAAGAAGAGAGTGGGGAAAAAGGAACATGTAGTTTTAAAGAAGCTGTCATTTTTACAGAATGTCAATGTCTGAGATCAGATTTGTCACTGAGTCACTAACCAAATGCTCCTGTAAGTGTCAGCGATATCAGATTTAATGGAGTGGGTGGGGGGTGTGGAAGTGCTAGCAATGGGCCAGAGATTTCCAGATAGCACACATTGCAGCAAACTGACTCAGTTCCAAAGCGTAACTGAGTTTGCTCAGACACTGGTCTTCAACACTCATACATTTCTTACTGGGGCTATTTTGATTCGGTAAATACTTAGGGAATGGGTGTTCTTCCAGTTTTGATTTTGGCAGGAAAAGTTCAAATGTTTCCCAGAGCACAGGAGAAAGGTTTCCCTTGTTTCTCTGTGAAAGTGTGAGAATTAAAAATGTAGCCAAAGTTTTTAATCAAAATCACATACTTGAATCCTATATGGGTTTGGCCACACCAGATCAAGAGAAAAAAAATCCATTTTAAACATGGAAATTCCTGGATAAAATTCAAACCATTCAAACCATCCTTTAATCCTGCAGTGCCTCTATCGAGCAAAATCATCTACCTACATAACCAGACTGCAGCAACAGCAGATTTTCCAAAGAAAACAACATTGTCTTCTACCTTTCTTTAATAACTATCAGCTGTATTTCAGCTTTCACAAAGCAGTCATTTTCCTATTGAGTCCTGGACGACTGTGCAATTATGGTTTACGAGAAGCTGAAATGTGCAGAACTACTTTGGGCCATATAATTAACAACCATAATTATCAATCAATAATGGACAGCCAGATTTGCTACAATCCATTATTCAGAACTCAGAAAAAGCTTTGACTGCAGAAGAAAAAAACCAACCTCAGTAATAGTGAATTCTGATTGTGTAACAGAGTTTTAGCCTGTAAATGTTTAGAGAGAACAAAAGCAACATTACAGTTTCTCATTTCATGTATGGCAGATAATTGTGCTTAGCTATAAAGGTAATAAAATTCAAGTAAATCTCTCGGTGTCTCATTTTCCTTGATCAAGCTTCCATCTGACATTGTTTTTTGCTTTAGTTAAATCTGCATGAAGTTCTGCAAGTGCAGCTTCTGAAAACTGTTAAGAGCAGCATCTGGAGACAGCAGGCTGCACCTCAATTTGAGAAAAAAACATCACAATACATTATAACAAAACATTACAAAGCATACAATAAAAGAGACAGTTTTCACAATGAAGAGAAAACGGGATGTGTGCAGTCCTGCAGCTCACAACTGATCCATCACCACTCACCTCCTCACGCTCACGCTGTATTCTCTGGTTCTCCAAAAATCGAACTCTGTTTCGAGAGAACCTGTTGGAATGGCAAAGCTAGACGTTTGTTCTGACATTTCTGTCGTGCTGCACAGCAATCTGGCAGTTATAAGCAAAGCAGCCTTCATTATTTCAGGCATTTTCAGGAAAAAAAAATAGATTTTGAAAAGAAATCCCTGCAAAATATGTTTATGTACTGATACCAAAATGGTGCTATGTGGGGCCGGAGGAGTTAGATGAACATCAGCACCTTAAGGCCAATCTGTTACAGAAGTAAAGGTCTGAACTGGAACGGATACGAGACTGGCACACACTGCACTTGGTGTTCAGGCCTGCCATGCTGGTGAGGCCCATAAGGATGACATAAATGCAAGGAGGAGCAGGAGGACAAAACCTTTCCAACAGCAGAATAAATATTTGTCCAAAATACATTAAGAACAGAAGAGTTGCTAGGGCCACTAGAGGGAGTCATCACTACGTACACGAGGCCAGCCTGCTTCACAACGGTGATTGCTCTGATTTAATTTAGACTCTACATGAATAATCAGAAACAGAGAATGCAGCATGACTTGTCTTCAAACAACGCACACAGTACGGAACAGATGCAGCTGGTTAAAATAAGTTTGTCTTTTACACATCTCATTGTTCAGAGGGAGTTCCAAAGAACAAACCTGCAACAAGCATTAATCAAATAAATCTGAAGACTTAATCAACTCCCATGTGCAAAGGCACCTGCACTCAGGAAGACTTGTTACAGTAAGCCATAACATCGCAGTGCTAAGAGGCACAGCCTTCTGCCCATTTCACAATGGCCTATTAATTGCTCCTCCAACCACCTGGTGAGTCCTCCACAAGGAATTTTTTAAATCATGCCCACAAGCTGCTATTCACAACTCACGAGGTTCGTGGCATTGCCAGCACTCATCAGCCTTAATAAATATATAAGCCCTCCTCTGACTAAAGTGGATTTAGGGGGATATAAACTGCTGAACAAGGAAGGCTTGCTCCCATTAAACAAGAATATTCTGCACAAGTACATTCACTATGGTATTTTGGAAGAAAATAGTGGAATTCTGCGTTTATGTTTCATTTCATTTTTGCCAGCACCTCATCAAGCTGCTGCTGCCATAACAGGCAAACACACGAGATGTCAGCACGAGCACTGCAGCGCTTCCATGTGTGAAGAAACATTTCCTGCTGTAAGGCAGGTAGAACAGCTTGTTTCGATTCAGTTGAGAAAAGCAAGTGACTCTCTTCAGCATGCAATAAAGCAGAACACTATTCCATGGCCAATTTCTGCAGTTAAAGCTGTCAAAGTTCTTCAGAAAGGACAGAGAATATTCCTTCCTGGAAGTGTATATATATATAAATGTAGTGACCATCACCAGAGCCAAAAGATTTGTAGCAGACTGATGGCAAATCCACTGTGCTTGATGAGAAAGGAACACCAAATTCCAAAATGATTTTTGTGTGCCTCCATCTCACTTCCTGCCTATGCTGGTAACTTGTTTTACCACATTCTGATGCTTTTGTAACTACCATTACTGACTGCTTCTGATGTGCCCAGGGGAAGGCAAACAGATTATCTGCCCCTGTTGTTATCACACCTCTTTCTGGATGCATGGAAAAATCTGTCTCCTTGGGAAGATTCAGCACTAGTCCCACAGACTGACTGTGCCCACCAGGTGTGCTTATCCAGTTAGGACACCAAACACTTACCTTTCATGTCCCAGGAGAACATTATTCAGATCTTCATTTACTTGTATTAACTCTACTATCACATCTTCATTCTCCACTGTCACCAACAGCTCCATGATCCGTTCCTGCATCATCCGACACGTCTTGTACAGCTTCTACCCAAAGAAGGGAAAGAAAAAATCTGAAGTCACAACTGTGTTCTCTTAATTTGAGAAGAATGATAAGACAGTTGAGCACAGGAGACTCGCAGGTCATGTCCCTTCATTTATCCAAACCACACACATACCAAGCATTGCAAATAGTGTGATTTTCATGTCTTTGATCTCTGCAAGGCCAGGCTGACAACTCCTATCATCAAACCAGCACTCCTACCTCTACCAGCCCCTACCCATGACCTACCTTCATTTCTGAGGATATATCTGTCTCTAAAGTCTAAATTACAAATTGCAAAATAATGAAGACCCCTCTGGGTGATGCAGAGTAAATTTGATTTGAGCCTGATTGAAGCTGATTAAACTCAGTAGGATACTTCACATGAATGTAATGAATGTGATCCAGGTTCAACATCTGCTAGAAGGAAAGACAATGGTAGTCTAAAGGATAAAGTGCTTTGTGACATCACCGTGTAGCTCTAAGTCCTCCTCTCAGTGGGGAAGTCTGGATGCACTTCACCCATGCACTTTCTCATGCACTGGCACAAACCTAGCATTATCAACTGGTGTGATATTTATGAGATCTTTCTCAGCAGAATATTGCATTATTGCCAGCTGAAATGGTGGTTAGTTTATTTACATTTCTCTCCCCTGCAGATTTTGCCTGTTCAAAGAAACACATTCTTTAGCATCAGAAGCTTCATCTCAGCCAAGATTCTTTTTCCCACAGTGTATTTTTGCAAATGCTGGCTGGCTCTGCTTAAGGAAAAAAAAAAAAAAAAAAAGGGAGGACAAAATACTGTTTGCACACTGCTATTCAGAAAGGGCTCTGGTATTATTTTCAAAGTGTTCTCAATTTTCTCAAGAAACATAAGCTTTGTGTAATTCTTTAATTTATTATGTAAAAAGAAATGTTCCACCCCTCTGCCGAATCTGCATACGCATTACTTTATTGCTCACTGTTGTATTGTCACAGCCTAGGAGAGAACACACAAAAATGTATGCAGCTCAATGAATACAATTAAATTTTAAACCTCTTCAGCTCCACATCTTATAACCTTATCCACACCTCAAAAATGTGGATTTCTTATGAATCCATTTTACAGGCAGACAATTTTCTTTGTAAAACTGAATAAATCACGAAGCAGTAAACTGTGATGCTCATTTTGAGGATGAATTTCTATGTTTTATTCTGACTCACCATGAAGTCCAGCGTTTTGAAAACTGGAATTCACAGCAATGCACCACCAGCTCATATAAAGCCATCAGTGATCCCAATGAACTTGTGCCAATGCTCACCACCTGGCAATCTGGGCCTTAATTCCTGCACATCCATCAGACACGTCTGTTCACTACCCAGTACAAACGTTTGTGGCTCTTTCAGCTTACAATGGGCTTTTGGTATTCTTCAAGAACTGCTACTGGTAAGCACAATATTTCAAGTGAGATTTGCTATCCTTAGCCTCGTTGTAGAACAGGGTGGGGAAAGGATGGAAGCAGTCATTCACCAAACTGCAGAACCAAAAATACATTGCACTGATGAAGTTTACTCCCTTAAAGCTTTTTACTCAGAGACCCTGGATAATCAGAAGGGCTGATACTCATCTCTCCCACTCACTCAAAGCCTAAACAAAGAGCTCTTGTAATAAAGGACTTTGTTCTCCAACAACAAAAGCCTAATACAAGAAATCCAGGTAAAGCCACAAGCAAACATGCATGTTAAACAGGGTTAAAGAAACAGGCTGACCATGCTTGATGTTCTGTACCACTCAGTGCACGGAGGAAAAGAACAACAATGAAATTAACATAGAAGGAATGAGTTTTTAGTCACTCCCCCACAAATGGGAACTCCACACCCTGTCCTCAAACTTTTGCCAACAATTTTATTACTGGGAGTGTCAATAAGAATCCACTGGTTTACTGTGGACAACCTAGAATGTGCGCCTGCATGCAGAAGGGCTGCTCTGCAGGAGCCAGGAAATGAAAGGCACCTTTCCTGTTTCACAGCTGAAATATCCCTGGTTCACTGGCCCTTCCTCCTCAAACCTGCAGCTCTACAGATCTCTGCCAGAGACAGCAGTGGAGGTGCCAGGAATTTCCTGGGGAGCAGAAACCCAGAGATTGATTCTGTCTCCTATCTGGTTCCCACCCACCAGCAGCACTGCCTGTCATTAAAGGTGAGACACAGTGGTCACCTAATTTTATCTTCTTAAATCTCAGACTTCAGCTGAGAACCAACGCATAAAAGGATGCAACTGAACAGTGTAACCCTGAAGGCAAACAAACAGTACCCAGAAAAAGTTCCCTGCAAAGGAAGAATTCTCCACACCAAAGTCTTGCAAAAATTTTATCAGTTCTTCAGTGCATTTATGTTGACAAATTACCAAAAATGTTTCCTTGTCACCGAATTTTGGGGGTAAGTTTAGAAAATGAAGGATATGATCAACTTCTTTATTTCTTCTAGAAAACATGAAACATCAAGATGTCCATTTAACATAAATCACTGTTGAAATGCTCAAGCACTGCTACATTTTAAATTTCTAAAACAGGAAAAGTATGAGCAAGTAGATCATATGCATCTTCACTATCAAATTTAAACTCGACTATTGCAAGACACTACTTCAGGCTACACTTCAAGAGCACGTGGCTCCATCTGTTGCACAGAAAGCTCCCAGGCTTTGAGGTCATGTACACAAACCCAATGCTTCATTTTCTTCACTGTCCTTCAGTTTGCCTTTAAGGTATTGGCAATAATAAAGAGAGCTCTGAAAACTCCAGGACGGATATGAGATATTGTGTCATCACCTGTTTTTCCAGCAGGCAACTGTGCTCACCTGGAATGTTTCTCAGGGCTGTTTGACAGAACATGCTTAACAGAGAATGCTCCATTATGAAATTCCTTTGCCCTTGGAAGTCCCTACAGCTTAAATTTACATTGTAAACTGCGTTGTCCTTTCATGACTACCTAGATTCTGGGGAAGTTTGTAAAGGAGACTAGAGAAATTGAGCAAAATCAGAGGCAGAAACTTGATGTTGGTTTGATTTTGCAATCTAAATTCAGATGTTACAAGAAAGGATACAGCAAATCCTAAAATCAGCTTTGTTCAAATTAATAACCCCATCAATGAGTTACCTCATACCTGTAAAAGATTCATATCATCCGGATTTTCAGAGCCAGGAACATTTTCTTTTAATATTGATGACATGACTCTCACGTTCATTTTCGCCATATCCAGTTCACTGTACAGTTTCCCAATCTGTTCAGTTCAATAGGACAGAATATTGTGCAGGTGAACAGAGAGAGCAAAGTAATTCTTACCTCTAATACGTACTTTCTTCCCCATTAGGCATAATATGGGTTTAATCAGCATTATTTTACTCCAGTGACATTCTATGGAAATCAGCTCAGTTTTTATACATCCAATACAGCCCAATAATACTCCAGGTTTCTCATGATATAGTGCCTCTCTAAATACTGAGAAGACTTATTAGTTAACTACAGGCCAAGTGGGATCAGAAGCAAACTGTCCCTTCCTTTCTGCTTTTAAGTACAATTCCTTCACACCAGTCTTATCCAAAAGTAAGCTTGGCTTCCTCAGTTATCTCTGAAGTATCTTTTATCAACTTGCATAACATCTAACATCCTCGTAAGAGATCAGCAGAAATTCTTAGCTCCAGTGAACGATTCCACTCCCCGGCTGGGTACAGCCTGGCATTTACCCAAGTGATTTCTGAATGCTTTGCTTTGGCAAATCACTGTACAAAACATCTTTAGGGGAACAAATTGAAAGCCATGAATAAAGAACGACGCTACTTGAGATGACGTTCCATCTATGACCTGCAATGCTGAAATCGCACGTTACCAGCATGTTTCAGGTGGAATGTCCCTCCCCTCCAAACCTGTGGTACTGTACCTGTTCAGGTGTCAACAGTAACGTTGGGCCCGTGGGAAGAGGCAACAAAGAACGTTTTGGGGGAGTAGCAGAAGATGGTGATGACTTTGCAGAAGATGGGGATTGCTAAAAGACAAAAGAGCAGAGCTTGCATTTAACAGAAGAATTGAAAGTGACTTGCAGATGAGAGTGCTACCATCATCTGTCAGACCAAAGAAGCAGGCATCAGCTTTCAAATAATCAGTGTTGAGCAAGCTCTATTTGTAAGAATAAGAGTAATAGCTAGTTTGGAGCAGGCTGGAGTTTGAGAATGTTTTTCATTGAGTTTGCTTAGTAAATTCCACTACAGACTAAACAGGAATGGCTGAGAACAAGCTGTCTGTCCTTGACCTCTGCAGCCATCTGACAGCGAGTCCTACCTTAAGTGCTACCACAGTTCTACAACTGTGGGTGGTTTAGAATGCATTCACACACGGAGTGACAAGTCTGGGGGGTTTCACTTGTATTACAACTGAACTGACTGCAGCAGAAGAACCCTGCACAAGACTGTATACATCACATCCTTAATCTCACAGAGACTGAGCTATAGATTGTATCCAGATCTGCTGCAGCTAAAGATCAACAGGTCTGCAACAGAATTTAATGGATTGAAATATGTGGCAGACAGAATTGTCTCTTACTGCAACTGGTAAGGAAAAAATTGTTGTCCAGCGAAAGCACTTTCTTTCAATTGTTCAAGATACAGCTTGTTCAAACAGCCTAAAATACAGGAGTTTTTGCACTCTTTGCTATTCAGTCATTAAATCAAACTCAGTATAACAAAATCCTTCCTGTCTACGCTGATTACAGTCATCTAACTCTGTAATTGCAAGGCTGCACCCAAAGGTGAACGGCTTTCACATATCCCAAGTCTTGTGAAAACTTTTCTAACAGAAAACAAATTCTGGAAATAACTGCTGCAAAGCATGTATTGTATTTTCAGCTGATGTCCCATTCTCAAGCCATATTTATCATACATACGCTTAAACAAAAAGGTAGAAATTAGCTACAGGGTCAAACATTACTGAATAGAAGTTATGTAAACAGCTATAGAGAAATACAGGCAACAGACCTCTCTTGCAGATTTGTACCTCTCAGATTAAAATTAAAAACAGACAGCGTTCCAGGGAGATGTTATTGCAGCCTTCTAAACAACCTGAAGAAATTATTTACTGTGTGGTGAGGCACAAACCAGCCTGCCTAGAAAGGCTGTGGATGTCTCCTCCCTGGAAGTGTTCAAAGTCAGTCTGGATGAGATCTTAAAGCAATCTCATCTGGTGGGAGGTGTCCCTACCCATGGCAAGGGGATGGAACTGATGCTTAAGGTCCCTTTCAAACCCATACCATCCTGTAATTCTTTGAATGCTTGAATTCTAAATGGTATGTTTTCAGACAAATCTTACTAATTTTAGTTAAGGCTTTCAAAAGCTGACAAGTTTCAAGCATTCAGCTCTCATTCATTTTGAGGCAAACAGGTTGTCCAAATTTTTTAAATGCTCTGGAAGTCTCAAGAGACAGAAACTTCCTTTTTGAGAATATATATCCACTATTCCGTGATTTGAAATAAAAGACACTATTATATAGGACAGGTTTCTTTGTTGTTATCTTAGCTGCTATAATTGAAACTGATTTCTGCTCACATGCTTAAGTAGATTGGTCATACTCTGCCCTGGAGCATTCAGAAAACAAAACAAAAACATACACACCTTCTGTGTCTACAGAGCTCATACAATTAACACATCCTGCTTCTGATTTACAGTGGATTAATGAGGTATCCCTGCATATCCCCACCTTAGGCCTTCCTTTGCTGCTATCAGAAGATGGAAACTCCACTCCTTTCTTCAGCAGTTCCAGATAAACTTCTTTTACTTCGGTCACATCCACCATTCCCTGGAACCCTCGGGCCCATACCTGGTTTTGAAACAACAGTAACAGTCACAGAAATGGACAGTCAGTTGGGGCAGACAACTCTTCTAAAACATACGATCCTAAAGGCATTTTCTCCATGTGAACAGCACGTTTTCTGCCTCTATCTGCTCCAGCTAGCTCCAGTTTAAAACACGAGGAACACTGCAAAACTCTCAAGTTCCCTCTCACCCTGCTTATAACCACAGAGGGGAGCAAATACACAGACTGGGAGGAGAATATAAAAGGCAGAGACTGACAGTTTTCCAGGACTCTTTCTAGTTCCACTCTGTGCTACCCCTGCATGAAGCAGAAGAATCAAGCCCACGTAAAAGATTTCCATGAGTACACTGCAGGAGAGAAACGAGACACACATAAAGCAGAGAGACAAACAGCCAGTGTTTACTCAGGGCTCACCATGATGAAGGTCAGGATTTTCTCCTGCAATTCAATGGGCAGGTTGTATCTGGGATTCAGCAGTTTCACCAGTTTGTCCTTGCAGAAGTCCTTCTTCACCACTAAAGACTGGAACCTTGGACCACAGTTCTGCATACACATGTCAAGCAGCTGCAACCACAAGAAGCTTCTGTTACGTAGATGTAAGGAAAAGAAAACCTTTACTCCTTTAATTTATTCCAAGGTGTTGCAGTGAAGAGTACTAATGGATCTGAACAGATTATTGCCAGTGGTCTCACGGTGTTGTCTGAGGAGGTTACTGCAGCGAAACAGAAGTTCAGTGTGTGCACTTCTATTGCTGTGCACGTACAAAATGAAATGGGTTACCCAGAATTAAACTATTTTTGACAGCGAAGCACAGCCAAGCTTGTTTTCATGTCACAGCAGTTACTGAACATGTCATACCTTCACGGTGTGAAATCTGTCCGTAGCCTGAAAAAAATGACTTGTACAGATTCACTAAACCAATTAATTTCATGCCTAGCAAACAGGTCCCCTGGTCTGACAGATTCTGAAGAGCTCTGCAGAAGAAGAAAACAAGCTCACTAAGTGCCTCTCTTCTAATCTGTCCTCTAATGTGAGAGACTAATGAAAAAATAGAAAAGAACAAACTCAACAACTCAGAGTACAATTTCTCCACGTGTTTTAAAGGTCACATTGATTTGAAACAGAGCAGGTGAATTGTTCCAATTGTCAGATTCATCTCCACTACAGCTGCCTACTTTCAAAACTGCCTGGAACGCTCAGAATGGGATCTCTGCAAGCAGCACATCTGCCCTATCAAACACAGCATATGTCATCGTGACATTACACCTCTCCTTCATGTACCTGGAGATGGCTGGCTGCAATTCCCTTTTCGCAGAAGAGATATCAAAGGCTATCAGTACATCCTAACCACCTGGAATCAGGCCAGTACAGGTTTTGTTAGGGAGCTGGGGCTGATCACAATCAGAACTCATCTTGCCTGGCACAAAACTGGAGATCAACTGAGGTACTATATGCTCCACACAAAGAAAGAACACTCACTTGCACTTTTCACTCTTCAACCTTGTCTTTACTTTTCTCTCTCGATTTAAGAGTGAGGATGGAAAGGTGAAAGCAAAGGGTAGAATTCACAAAAGTTTGCAGAATTCTATAGTTTTAGAGTCATAAAACTTCCCCAGAATCATGCAGTAGGCAGAACCCAGTCACAAAAGGATACAACAAATTTAAGGCTGCTACTGTAATCACGATCAAATTAGGTAAGTAGGCTCTCCTACCCAGAGCAGACTCTATTTGGCTACGTTGGAGTCATTTTAGTAACTAGTTTTCCAGCCTCAGGACCTGGGGATTTTTCTCCCAGCATTATCAGGAATTTATGGGAGAAGTGGCCTAAGACCAGAAGAAAATTCACTGCTGAAATAAAGAGAATAGAACAAAGAGACACTGGCAAACTGCTGCACAAAAAAAACCTAAAGATAATTACCAAAAATCTTGGCTCGAATCATTATTTTTCATGAGCACATGAAAAACATGCTAATAAGCCAGCTCATCTGCCTGTACAGTACTTCAAAAGACGGCTGGTGTAAAACATTCCCAACCCAGAACATGAGAAATTTGGTATGCTATTCTCTATCATTAATTTTCTGTATACGGGACTGAGTATTTACCCTCTGGAAGTACTGCAGCTAATGGACAAGACCCTCCATTCAATTAGGCCAGTTCAGCCCACTGACTTCTCACGAAACCAAGCTGATGCAAAAAAACCCCAAGAATTTGACTTTATTTTTAACCAGACCATTCGTGAACAAGGCACTTTTGTACTAATAGCACCTTTACTTAGAATGTCAATATGGTTATTTATCACTGTAAGCAGGACTTCACTTTCCCAAGATCCACTGAGGTGAATGGACCCAAGTCAGCCAAGCCACGTGCTGCAGCATACAGACAGTGGAATCTCAGTATACACATTTTCTAGTAACAGAACTGGTAAATTAACTTGAATCAAACCAACTTGAATCTTTCTCTCAATGAGGGGCAGGATCTGAGGACTGTAGGAATGGGCGATGCTGCTATGTTCCAGGCAAGCTGATACTGGACAACCATTGAGAAGAGACCTGCACTGAGCGGGAAGGGGGAGAACTGCACAATCATAGCCCTGGGGTTCACAGAGCACCAACACAAAACTGAGGTGACAGAAGATGAGCAGACATGAAGGCAGGCTTAAGAACTGAAAGGCAGAAATAAACAGGGGAGAAGCTACTGGGGATAACAACAGAAAAGCCAACTACATTCCTTATCAACAGTGACCTTGCTCAGAATTCTGTAGGACTAACTGCTCATCTCAGGCAGTCACATATGAGGCCCATAAAGCAACAGTGAATGCATTAAGTTTGCAACAGGTACCCTCAAACTTAATGTGAATGCAAGAAAACACAGACAAAGTCTGCATTCTAATATTTCTAACTGAGACAGAACAAGTCATCAATCCCTGCCCAGGCTTGTAATCTACTGAACTCATACTGATGTCCTACCAAATAGAGTTTCTGAAGGCCAAGATGCTAAAAGAAACTGGTACAGGCTGCTTCTCAGCTGCCATTCACTACTCACAATGTAGCAGCCATACAGACTTCACCAAGATCTTTTATTCCTAAATGCATGTGTGTGTTACGACAGGTGCACAGAGGGACACATTTAATAAACTACTTCCCCATTTGCTGTTCAGTTCCTAAGGCCTCGCAAGATTCAGAACTGGGGCACTGCAGTAAACACTTAAAAAAAACAATCCAAGGGACATCGATAGACACTGAACAGGTGTCTCAGCATTCACTACATAAACACACTTTACACAACCAAAGCTTATTAATAATGAGCCAGATAACACACGCAGACTCTGCTGGATTCCTGCCTGAAAGTTCTAATCCTCGTTCTGTGATTGTGCAATCAGCACTGCCAAGCCTGATCCCTTGGCTTTATCAAGGAGAGCACGAAGCAGCTTCAAGGCCTGGCACACACACACCTTGATCCATGTGACTTCACAAGCACCAGGTAACTTCCCTAGATCAGAGTACAAGCAGTCAGGGCACAGCCAACACATTACACAGCTGGCACTCACCCTTCCTCCTGCAAGCAAATAAACACGTTTAAGACAGGGGAGGAAGACAACACTACTGAGATTGAACATGTCTCGATGACAGAGTCGGGGCTGCGCCATCACGCAGTGCTGTTACTTCAGACACAGACCTGCACGTTTCAGTCTGCGTGCATTCCCTGGGAAGGATCTGCTTAAGAAGTAGTTTTATTAAAGACAATTCCAGAATTTCAAGGTTGAATAAACAAATGTGGATCAAAGTACATTCCAAAGGAAAAGTGGTTTCAAGACTTTGTTGCCTTCTTAGATAGAATCACATAATGGCCTGGGTTGAAAAGGATCTCAAAGATCACCTACTTTCAACTCCCCTGCCATGGGCAGCATCACCAACCATCAGACCAGGCTGCCCAGAGCCACATCCAGATAGAGCTAGGAGAAACAGAGCTGGAGAGAGAATTAGATGTGGAGTCCCAAAAGCAAAAGACAGCATCTACTGCAAGGAAGGCAGGCAGTAAGGCATAGCTCGTCAGAACAAAGAGCTCTTGGTTTTGTAGAAATCTGGGAGAAATCAAGGAATTTTTAAAAGGTTGAAGGTGGGGCCTCTGCTGGTTTGTTTATTAGGAAGTGAAAACTACTTGCTTTCCATTTGCAATGACTTATTGATCCAATCCAAGTATTTCAAAACGAGAAACAGGAACAATGTCATTATTGCAATCAAGAACATAAAATGGAATGGCCCATAGAAGGACCAGCTGGGGAACAGAGGAGTTAAAAGTCATCCACGGTTAGCAGTGAGGTCATCAAAGGGAAGGTTTCACAATGAACTGATAGTGGCAAGGGCAGAAAAGGAGAAAAAGGGAGCCTGGAACAGAGGAAGAGGTGAGGACAGAAAGTCTTACATAGGAACAAAGGTAGGAAGAGAGCTAAATGTGAGTGGGTGAGGACACGTGTGGAGAAGGAGACTGAAACTGCAAAGAGGCTGTGAGAAAGTGATGAACCAGAAGTACCACTGAAACCTGGTATGCATTCCACCTGCAAGCAAACAAAATAAGCTTCCAAGCAAACATGATAAAGCTCTTCCTTGGACACAGCTGAAATAAGAGCTCCTTGGGTACATCTGCAGAGCAAACATCCTGATAAGGACTCCTAAATGTAAGTACTGGGCCCTGCAAACTCCAGCTGACTGCATCAGAGGGTTGAGGTGTACAGGGACTGCAGAAGAAAGCAAGAAGATCTGATATAGGGATTGCAGTTACAGTGGAAACCAAGTGTTTCTGTTATGCAAACACATGGAACACACGAAAAGGTGACTCATGAGACAGTGGAGGAGGAAACTGAGAAAGCAGTGCGGAAGTGGAATGAGCTGAAGGTATACAATGGTATGTTCAGCACATTTATCTGCCTCTCAAACTTGTCAAGTGACACTTAGGCAATAGCTAACTGACCTACAATTCAACACTATCAATCACCTATCTTCCTTAATCACCTCTCATATATTGATATAGATAATGATTTTGCACAACAGATAGCAAACCTGTGATTAACAGTACTCAGAGTGCAATGCAGACAAACCTCTCTACACCCTTAAAAAAGTAAATTGTTAAATGCAGCTCTGCAGCAGCTTATAGCACAAACTGCTGCTTCTTGCAGCTGCACTGCTGTCAGCCAAGAGAAACTCAAGTGGAGACCTCTGGAGTTACGACAGCATCAAGAACTTCTTGCTACTGCTCGCCTTACCAGCACAGTGGAGAATGGAGAGCATCAGCACGCTCCTGTAAATCTTAAACCGACTGAAATCATCTCTCTTCCCCAAAATCTGGGAGAGCTCAAAAGCAGTGTCACGTTCTGAAGGCCAGGTAACCTCCAGTGAGGACGCTCCTGGTCACCCCAACCTTTAGTCACAACATCTGAATCCTGCAAGGCTTATCCCTCTGCCTTTCTGCATCACTTAATTCACCACTGTTAACCCTTCATTCAAATCTTGTTTATTTACAAAACACGTAACACACATTTTAGAACGCAACCTCAAGCACTCAGTCTAACCAAGGTCACCACGAGGTAACAGAAAGGCCAAACATAGCTTTTATGCCATGTCCTCAGCTCTGTGCCTTTCACAGGCAGGCGGGGTCTCACAGAGCAACAGCTGCTGGAGTAAAGAAGAACCAAACTGCTTTTATCAGCTGCAGGCTTAAATAAAATACAAAGCAGCAATACATTTAGGAAGAACAAACACCAGTGGACCATCAGATCTACACTGGTAGAGCTATTCACACAAGCAACAAGGACAGAAAACGCCCTGGAGAGTCATATCAGTGCCAATTTGCATGTCACCTTATCATTTGAAATGTTTTCTGTCTTAGCGTCCAATTAACATAGCTAGAGCTGTACTTACAGACAGGGTGAGCCTGATCTCCTTATGGTTACAGTTTTTTGCAAGCTTTTTCTTTAACGCTTTGACTGCATCCTTAGGCCTGTGACGAGACATCAAATAGAAAAGGTTACCAGAGAAACTGTTTTTCCAGTTCATAACTACATCCAAAATACCGGCCTGAGATTGGGGCCATCCCTGTATTTACACCCACTTACAAACAGTCATTTCCCCACAGGTTTTGGTAAAATTTCTTCAGCAATGAGCGAGATAAACAAAGCAGCCAATCAGGAGCATCACTCCTGAGATTTGTGCAGAGAAACGAAGTTATTCTTTGCAGGGCCTCCTTCCAAACTGTATTATTTCACTGTCGTACAGCAGATTTACTCATCTACTCTGGACAACATCCGTTGCTATGAAAGGAAATAGGAAATGCCAAATGTACCAAGACTTGACTCGCACCTATTTTTCAAATATGATGTGATCAAAAGATATTCTCCTGGGTGTGCTGCAAGAAGTAGGGGTGCCTTGGCTAACCTCCAATCTTTTAATTGCTGGATGCTTTTAACTAATCTGAGTAATTACCATGTACAGACAGACAACCCATTCCACCCAGGAGAGTGGCACTTCCACTACAGTCTTTCTCATTTCTATATATACACCCCATATCTGTTAACTATCTATGGAGGAGGAAAAGGGTGGAAGACAGTATCAAAGTTTATCACATGTGGGAAATAATTCTGACTGATTAATACAGGCTATGTATAGTGTACCCAGAAATTACAGCTATTAGGGCCAGCTCAGTGCTCATCATCAACAAAAACAAGATGTCCCTAAGTCTCTTTAGGATCTCTGTGGAATCTAAGATGGAACCATCTGCATAAACTGAATGTGTCAATTAAAGAAATCTTTGCTGAAAACATTACCAAGTTGATTAACTTAAATGGGTATTTACCATTACTTTTTTTTTTCCAGTTTGAAAGGTCTGCTGTACCTTATGGAAGAAAAAATAAGCAGCAACTTCTGTATTTTTGCTTCGATCCTATGGCCATCCCCAGTCAGACCAGCAGAACAGAGTCAGTGATGGATGGGAGGGGAGAGGAAAACCTTCCCCTGCAGAGAGCAACGCTGCTACCCCACTGCTGCTTCTGTCTGAAGCATCTGGAAATGCCCCGCTCAGGAGTTGGGTATTACATTAAAATAACAATTTGCCTAATTAGATACAGCAGTTCCTCTGTTCCTAATATCCTGTTACAGACTGGGACTAGCAGCAGTTGCCTAGGAGGAAGCTTTAAGGAGCTGCTCTGTAAGCATAAGCTGTACACAAGAGGAAGTAGTTCATTAAAAAAAGCTCTGTTGCATAGAAACTTCACATACAACCACCACAGATGGTCAGAACGTGCTGCAGCTCATGGCAGGGACCGGGAAGGAGTTACTACTGAGCCCCTGAGCTCTCAGTCACAGGTGAGAGATGACATCGGGAAAAATGAAAGGAGGGAAAACTTGCTATAAAGGAAGATACTGATACCTTTTTCTCCTGAAGAAAGCTCTCCAGCAGCGTTACAATGTGCCACTGCCTGCGAGTGCTGGCAATGTGTGTGCCGGCAATGTGTGTGTCGGCAGGTCCTCGGAGCTCACCTTCCCCTGCCCACACCGCTAAACGCTGCTGCTGGGGCCGGGCGGCCTCGGGTTCCATCAGCAGCTGTGCTTTAACACCTGAGCGGCCAGAGGACTTTTCCTAGCCGGGGCTCTGCAGGGCACGGGGCCGTTCTGCCCGACGAGCAGCACGGACGGTGTGAATCGCGCACGGAACCCGCGCTGCCACCTCTCGCCAACAGCTCTGAGCCGCAGCCCCGGCAGACGGGCAGAACAGCTCCCGAGGAGCCGGGCTGCCCTTCAGCTGCTGGTACACACGTGTGTACACACGCAGACACACACACACACAGACACACACAAGACAGATCCGCGGCCCCGGCCCCGCTCACCCCTCCTCCGTGGCGTTGATCACGTCGCAGATGTGCATGAATTGCCCCCACTCCTCCGTCTGCAGCGATCCGAACGTCGCCCGGTCTGTAAGGCCAGGGGCACCGCGGTCACCGCCGGCACTCGACCGGCCCGCGCTGCCCGCTCCCCCGCCCCCCTACTCACCCACCAGGCTCCCCACGGCGGTGCCGAACGGGTCTTTGGGCGCCTTCCCGAAGGCCATGGCCGCTGCCTCCTCGGGGCAGCCCCCTTCCGAGCGGCCCCGTCCCGCCGGGCGCTCCTTCCCTTCCTTTCCCGGGCCGGGGCGGAGCCGCCCGCAGGTACAGCAGCGGGGCGGCCGCGATCACGTGCGGGCCGGGCCGGGCAGCACCGCCCCGCGGGGCAGAGCCTCAGCGCCGCTCCGGCCCGGGCAGCTGCACGGCTGGCTGCGGAGCGAGAGCCGCCCGCCGCCGCGGGGCTCCTCGGCCACCTCTTGCGCGGCATTGAGCAGCGCGGAGCACGGGAAGCCCGGCACGGGGCGAGGAGTCGCGGCTCGGAGCTGCCTGCTGGCGGCCGGCGCTCGGAGAACTTCGACGGAAGAAACACGAGCTGCCTCGGAGCGCTCGCACGGATCGGTTCTGCGGGAGAAAGAAGTTTGGGCTGAACGCTGTTATAAAGCTCGCCTGTAAGAACCCGCAGAAAACCGAGGTGGAAAAGGAGCTGACGCTGATCCCATTCCTGCAGTCGCCCCACATAACTCTGCAGGAGCTGCCTGCGCATCCCACGCCGGGGCTTTCTTGTTGTGGTTACTATCGGTGTCTCCCATTGTGCCGCGCTATCACAAGTTTGACCTTATCTCAGACCCAGACAATGCCGGGGAACAAAACGTGGCATGAATGAAGATTAAAAGCTCAACTGCAGTTTTTGTTGACTGCGAGTTGTAATTATTGCAGTGTCAAACAAACACGGAATCGCATTAACCTTCACTTGAGTACAGCTTAATCAGTCACAGTCAAAACACGATATAACCAAATAAGCTATTTGCGTGGCATCAGAATATCATGAATGAACAAAGCTGTCTTTGCACTGATGAGAGCCCTGCCCAGCAGGAACGCACTCATTTGCGTACATCCACGGCCCCACCTGCAGGGCAGGCACAGCACAGCACGAAGGAGGGGAGCATCTCTGCACATCCCTACAGTGCAAGTCACCGAGCAGCCTGCCTCTGAGTTCTCGCATTTACAGCGCGTTCACAAACCAAATCTCTTCCTCACACTTTCAATAAGAGATGAGCTTAATCACACAATGTGGTGAGGCTTCAGCTTAAGATTTTTTCTAATGAACTCCTCGATTCTCTGTGCTTCTGCTCTCCTTGTTTGGTGTTCTACAGCACCCAAAGTAGGAGTCTGCTTGTCCTCGGTTGTAGAATATTGAAAGACAACCTCTAAACTCATTCACTCTTTACTGCCTGAACTCCAATAAGGGCCCATTGAAATGAGCCCTTGTTAAACCTGCAACGTGAGTCAGCTCTCATTTCAGAGAGCATATTTTATTGAGCTGCTCAGGGGAAAAAATTAATGAAGCCTTTTTCTCATTGGAATTTACTGCTTAAAGTTACTCACTGAGATCAGCTGCTGGCACCAACTGAGGAACACCCCGGGGTTCGGGCACAGCCCCCTGCTGTCAGTATGAGCTGCCCAGCAATCAGAGCCCTGCTGCACTCCAGGCACTCTCACTGCTGTTGCGGCTGCAGTATTACACTTAATGACCATTATTAAGGGGCACAGCATTTGGAGGAGTGTTATAAAAAGAAAGGAGAACAAGCCCAAAACAAAACCAGGAGAGAATCCCAAGCGCACACAAGCATATTCAGTCTCACCGAGAAAAGTGCTGAGAAGTAACTTTCAACTTCTTTGAAGACCCCAAAAGTTCAGATTCTGCTTTGCCTTAATAGATGCATCAACATTGCCTATGTGGAATCAAGAACCAAAGTGGGACTTCACCTCTAAATTTTGTGCCATTTTAAAGAATTCTCAACAAATTCCAAGAAGGCACTTTGGGTTTCAGAGGCCTTATTCTGGCAGTTCAGAGGTAGCAGAGATCTGCAGACTTTGGGAGATGCATGCACTGCTCCCAGTAAACTCACTGGCAATAACACAAATAATTTCTCTTTGCAAAACGTTTTGGGGAAAAAAAAAAAAAAAAAAAAAAAAAAGGTGTCTGGTGGCATCACCTACACCCACATCTTGATGCAGCATATCTTTTACCAGCATAAAATTGCATTGAGAAGTCTGCTTATCTGTACTACAGATACTGTGGATGCTGTGACAAAAACCAAATCCCTAATTGCCAGAGCTACCCACAGATTTTTTCCCCTCTAGTTTTGCTGGGTTTACAACTTAATGATATATAAGCTGTAAAGTCAGACTTTATTTAATCTTCAGTCTTATTTTCAAGGATTTGTGTACACATACAACAGAGTAAATATTTCACCTGAACAGCCCTCCTACTCATAAACTGATCCATGATATTGACTTGTACCTCTGTAATCTGTTGTATCTACATACACCATGGTGATGACTTTTGGGATAGTTTAAGAAGAGAGGGATTTTTAAGAGACCACTATTTCTGCAGACTTGCTGAGGAATTGCACAGTGCCTGTCTGCCTCCCAAGAGCTGCGTTTCCTCCCCAGCCTTCCCCAGGAGCTGTTTGAGGCTGATTCTTCCTTGTTATCCCATACAACAGAGCTGCAATCAGCGGGATTCTCACTGCAGCTCATTAGACCAGATGCTGGTTCTGGCCTGTGCTGGGAGCTGAACTTGAACAAACAGCTAGAGGGCCGCATCAAATCCCTTCTGCATAATCTCCATTAGCTCATAGCCTTCAGATAACAGCAAACCTAATCAAGAGCCATTTGGGCAAATTAAATTAATGCTTGTCTTATTTGGGACTGAGCCTTACTAAGAATGCAGAGCTGTCCCCAAATATCTGTTGAAGTAATTACTACTTTATTGTAAAAAAAAAAAAAAATCCAACCCTAGTTGTGCTGGCAGCACATTTAATTCGTCTGTGTAGGAACAGAGAAAGAACAGCAAACGAGGGAGGTGTGTGCAGCCTGCAGAGGGCAAGCTTGGCCTGCCAATCTCCCCGTGCACACAGGGAAGGTGCTTCAATGAAAAGGCACTTCTGCATGGGCCAAGGTGAGCTTTCTCACATGCACTGTGGGCTTCACATGCAGCTTTTTAGCAGTAGGATACCGTTTTGTTAGGAACAAGACTGTCTCTGTACACACAATGCAAAGCTTTCTGAAAGTAAACAGTGTAAGGAATGCAGTACTTTTGGGACTGAGAAGTGCACCACTCAGGTTTCCCCCCCAGCTCTGTGCTGTTTCCTGCACCACATCGCCATGGCAAAGCTGGGCAAACCTGTATGGCCCCACTCCTGCCCCCAGAACACTGAGAGTTCCAAGCAGAAACCACCCTGCTTCGGTAACACGCCCTAAGAACCATAAATTATTTTAAAATGAAACCGTACCTTATTTAGTGTAAGGCTGAATGCAAATTCTCTCAGAACTGTGCAATTCCTTTTGTTAGGTATTGCACACCAGTTCCCTTAGGGTCTCCACCATAAGGTTGCGGTACTGATATAAAACTTCCTTTCCTCTCCTTTCAGGAAACATTTCCCCTTTCTCCCTGGGTCAAAGCTGGAGATAAACACCTGCTGTGCTGTTGGGAGCTCACCAGGGCCTCTGCTCAAGGTCACCTTCTCATCCAGTTCCCCCAGTTTCTCTCCAGAAGTGTATTTCCTTGCAATGGATTCTAGATATAGAAGGTGAAATCACTATTACATAGCACAGTTTCGCAAGTTTTGACTCAACTTCCCTATATGAGATTATTAAATATACCTCCACTACTACTTCTCATTTTCTTCATACTCAGAGAACAGCAGTATCTAAAACCAGACCCTTTTGTAAGAAACTGCGTGTAAAGCAAATGATTTTCAAACAGAGTCCCGAATTACTAATTGCAGCACGACCTAATTGCCCATAACAAAAGCACTGCTACCAAAACTCACCTGCTGGTAGCCCCGTGTCCCCCAGCCCTGGTTCGAGTCCACCAGCCCCAGCTAACGCAATGCCACGCTGCTCACAGGGCTATCTCCTGTCCTAATTAACCACGAGCCTCAGCTGAACTCTCTGTTGGATTTTAATTACTGAGTTATTAATTCATGGGGAAAAAATTGACAGATGTTTCAGGTTGGTCGTAGCAAATTAAAAGGCAGGTGCCTGGCACCAAGAGTCAGAAATGATTAAACAAATGACTCGTGGATGTTCAGCTGTTCCACAGCAAACAATGTGCAAGGCACTGCCTGGCGTTCTGCGGGGCAGGGTGACTTCTCAGGATAAAAATAACTGCAACAGATTTCACTATCTCACCTTTAAATATAAAGAGGCTTTAAAATCTGTGTTCTTAATTTGCTTTGCAGTTTTCTTTCTTGGTTTGTTTCACTCTCCTTTCCTTTAAAAAGGAAATTCTGCAATTTTCTCAGGTTCTTAGTTTAGAAAAAAGTTTGGGCGATGCCATTTGAAGACAAGGAACTATCTGGTTCCTCTTCAGTTATCACAAAGCAATATGCCACACGTTACTCTATATATAACACGTACACATAACACAAAGTTGAGGACTATTTTCCATCTCACAGGGGACAACAACAGTTGTTGTAATTCTGCTGCTAACTTCAAGGGCTTGACAAAGCTCATGGAAGCGTCAGTGCAGATCAAACACATTACAGGAAACGCAGCCCGAAAGGCTACCGAGGTCAGTGCTGTTAAAGGAAAGCAGGAAGCAGCAGTGCCACGGGCTGCAGCTCTCCATCACTCGTGCTGCTTCGCAGAGCCGTTCCGTCAGGTCTCAGCAGGTCCCATTTGTCATGATGGCACATGCAGCTCAGCCGAACCGAGCAGAAACTGCCTTTCAGAAGATGGCTGGTTATTAAAAACCTTCGCTCGGTCACAAGTTCTCTGCATCTCTTCCTGCTGGGAAGGTGGAGGAGGTGTTCCAGGCTGAGTTTGGTGATGGTGCTGTTTGACTGAACACACGTACACAGTTTATGGTACAATACTCTCCTGAATGGGGCATGTTGTATTTTTTGCAGATGTCAGAATGATAAAAAAGATAAGTGTTTTGCCAATATTATAATTTCTGTATAGTTTTGTTTTTCCCCTTGTATTAAAGAACAGCTCAAACTACACCTCTGGTTCACGTCAATCAAAAAATTACTAAAAGGCAAAAAAAAAAATCACTAGATTCGATTTGGACAATGTGGGATCAGATATTTTGACAACTTCAGAACTAGAATTGA